CCTCTTTCGTTTTTATACATTAACAGATCTTACATTTTTTCATTAGACTTTTATCATAGAGAATATTTCGTTTTCGTTAAAATTTACCTTCGAGTTCTTGAATTTTTTCTAATGCTAAAAACTTTGCATTCTTCTCTTGATCATTATCTGATTGTTGTGCATGAAAATCTTTTTCAATTTGAAGTTTAATACTAATTAATTCTTGATATTTCTCATTTGATTCATGATAAACACGTTCAAAATATGCACAAGTTTTTTGTAATTCTTGATTTTGTTTTTTTAAACGTATACTATTATCAAGTTCCAATGAAAGTTGATCATTAAGTTCCGTTAACTAATTTATAAAAAAGACTATTTTACAGATTGAAATATTAAAAAAATCTTTATACTTGTCGTTCAGAATGAATAATTTTTTCTGCTAATTCACGATTTATTGCATCTATTTGATTCTTATGTTGTTTTTCATGTTCAAGTGCACGTTGAGTATCTTCTAAAAAATTTGCACATGCATGAGCCTTTTCTAATTCAATTTCATATTTTCGTTGAATCTAATTAAAAGAAAAATATTAATTAAACAATGGAACAGAAAATTTTCATTTATAAACTTCTTTATTTTCCGTTGCAAGAATAACATTTAATTTTTTCAAGTTCATAAAATTTATTATTCAACGACTTTTCTTCTTGACATTTTATATTTAAATCATCATATAAACGTCTGAAAACACAAAAATGAAAAAAAAGAAGAAAATAATTTTATAATTTCTTTACCGAAGACGAATTTCTAATTCATTTTTTATTCGTTCAGTTTCTTGTAATCGTTGTTCAAGTTCAGAATTATTCAAATTATTGAACTGAAGAAAAGAGACAAAAAATATAAGTTACAAGTCATAATTTAATATTTACAGTGCTCATTGAACGACGATCAAGAAAGGGTCTAAATAAATTGTAAAATAAACTTTACAGTAATATAGAACAAAAGGATTTCTAAAAATATGTCAATATCAGAGCTTCATTCATACGACTGATTCAAGTCCATTAGTTCCTCCATAAATGAAAGTTTTCATGTGTAATGTAAATCTGATTGAAAACACATGCGTATTTGACTGAATTTTTTTATAAAGATATCTACATAACTAAATTTAAGTTTACCGATTTATGGTTCTAAACGGCTTATAAATAAACCATATGTTCGATGATTTCATTATAAAACAATTGATCGTCTATGATTTTATCTCTTGTATATACAATGGAATATAAAACTTTTATTATAAAATAGTAGACTGTTATCAAGGATGTGTATTTTGTTTACAGAATAGTACAGATTTATCTGCTTGACTAAATATAACAATTCTGTTTCTTGTACAAGGTCAACATATCAACTCTGTCTAGAGAATAATTATATTTAGTTCGTTATCTATCTTAAAACAAACATATTTGTATTTGTTTTCAAATTATTCTATCTACATATTTTCATATCATAACATGCTATAGTAAACTAATGTGACAAATAAAAGTCTTACTGTTGTTCATTGGAAAAAGAAAATCCAATAAATGAAAGTTGATTTCCGACAAATGTTTTGCTAACAGAAAATGTTTCTTCCGGTGAACCATCCGTATTTTCTATTTCATTAAAATTAGTTGTATCTTCATCACTGGCTAATGATGGAACAATAGGTACAGATGCTAAATTTCAGTATTTTAATTAAATTTCGGTTTTTTTTCATTTTTTTTTCTTATCAATACCTTTTCGTATTGTTTCCCAAGTCCATTCAGTATGATTAGTAAAAAAATGGATGAGCTTTCACTTCTCCAACACCATTTTTACCCAAACGTATTGATCTTGAAATTTAAAAAAATGAATTTTTTTGAGAAAAATAAATCCCAATTCAATCCTACCGATCAGTAAGAAAAGCACATATTAAAGAACGAGCTTCCGTAGATAATGGAATTTCTTCTGGAAATGCTAGATTTTCTCGATGATTCATTATTTTATGATATGTTCCAACTAATGATTCAGCATAAAATGGTGTTTCACCTAATAACATTTCATAAAGAAAAACACCCACAGACCACCAATCAACTTCACGACCATAAACTCCAATTGTACTTTGTGATTTTAAAATTTCCGGACTTATATAATCTGGTGTACCAACTGCTGTATCAGATCGAACAAGACCATCCTTTTAAATTATATAAAAATTAATTTACAAAAAAAAAAACTTTCTTATTTTACTTTATCCATTTTAACACATGTGCCAAAATCAGCTAATTTCAAATGTCCACGAGCATCGAGTAACATATTATCAGGTTTAATATCCCTAATATAGAATGAAATTATACTTTCAATTAATAAATAAAAATGTTAGTTCATACCGATGAATATAACCAAGATTATGAATAGCATCTAGTGCAAGTACAACTTCAGCACAATAAAAACGTGCCGAACTTTCACTTATTTCATAACGTTCAAGTAATGTAATTAAATCACCACCAGGCATATAATCCATAATCATATATAACTTAAATAGAAAGAAAAATGTTATTTACAGGTTAAACAGGATGAAATATTTCTTACATTCTTTGCATCTTGAAATGCATAATGAAGTTTAACAATCCAATCACTATTTGAAAAAGCCATAATATTTCGTTCTTCCCAAAAGAAAGCACTATCCGAACGTTTTAACTAAATATATAATCGAATAATAAAATATTTAATAAATAATTTGATTTTTGTTTTGTTTACCATTTCAAATTTACTTAATGTTTTCATAGCATAAACTTGTCCAGATGTTTTTCGTCTTACAAGATCAACTGTGCCAAAAGCACCACGACCAATAATTTTAATTGGTTCGAAATCATCAAAATTAATTCGTCGTTCACGAATATCTCGCGTAGGTCCATTAACTATAGATACAAATAATTCTATCTTGATGAATGAATAAATAATTCTTTCAACTTACATTTTGAAAAGAATGTATCGAAATTTTTTGTCTTTTTAAGACCTTCTGAGTCATAAGTTAATGCAATAAGTGAATCAAGAAGACTGTCTACACATATAAATGAACGTGGATCAACAATATAGTCTTCAAGTTGACGAGTACGTTGAGTTAAATCTTTTCCTATTGTCGTCATTTTATTGACCATTCTATTTGTAAAAATATAAAATATTACTCATGATTGAGTATCTACGATACCATATACTCTTTCATATCGTCTCATATTAAGAGAGAAAATCTAGAAAAAAAAAACTAAGTATATACTCTACTGATATCTAATCAAAGAAATTTGATTAAATCAACAATGTAGGAGAATGAAAACAACAAACTCATGCTTTCTGCCTACACTAAAACAAACAAGTAGACAACTACATAACTATATGTATACATGAGTATACCATATTATATGACTCAATTGAAATAGCTAGCTAAACGTCAAGTGGATGATTTAGATTAACCAATAGTGAAAGAGTCTCAATAGGCGAAGTTCTAATGACATCTACTTGTAAAATATATAATGAAAAGAGACACTCGTCGAATGATAGATATCTTCATAGAAAAAGCATTAGTCAAATGATAATTCGTTAAAAAGGATGTGTCATCAAAATATACTAAATAAATCAATTATACCTACTATCTTTTATTCGATAGTCCATATAAAGACTTTTGATCTAAAATAGAATAATTTATCTGAATTTTTCTTAGGATATTTCTGATATACTTACTATTGTACTGCTTTTAATAGAGTTAAAATATAGAAGTAATATAAGATTTCTTAGGTCTATGTACTTTTTACCTAGTGCGATTTGTCAGCATGACTACTCAAATTACTCATGTGAGCACTCAAGGAACTTTGCACGTATAAATACTATTCATCAACCCAAAAGACTTTTTCTTTACAAAGACGTATTTATAAAAAAAATAGTATTATTACTTGATATAGCATTCATGGCTATTTTATTCATAGAATAGTTAGCAAATATTTATTATGATGATAAATACATGGAATTTATATAATAAAAAAATGTTTTAATTCAACGAATGTTAAAGTGATCGTACTTTTATGATTTGAAACTATGAAAACATAAACCTAATACGGTAAATTTATTTAGCAGGTGATTGCCGATGAATATATTGCCAATGAGAAATTTAGCTATTTTATGCACTACTTATTCAAGGATAGGCGAAGATGATTTATTATTTGTATTATTAATTTTCTTAATCTCTGTCAGCTAAAAAGAAAAAGGAGTACTTCAACTTTTAATACTTTACTATTTTGAAAAAAAAAATCAATGATTGTTTGTTTCATTCTCGTTTACTTATAATATATCTAGAATACTTGAATACCTTAAGAGATTCTGCTCTTCTAAGAATATTTCGTCTGTATTGTAATAATACAAAATGTATCTTTTGAAAGGCTCGTAATACACTTTAGTTTCTCTCTGTAGACATGAAAATAACAGACAAATGCTTTTTTCGGATAAGCATGTCTTTCTCTATTATTCCTTTTTTTTCTTGCTATTAAGTGCTTCTTAATAATAGTTTTCTATACACTTCTCAGCTTGATTTTACTACTTTATGTAGCCATTTAATGATAGGGAGAAGAAGATTGCTGCATAATATTGGATATGATTTTTTTAAAGAGTATGAGAGTGATAATTATGAACAAAAATTACTTGTTGTGGCTTGTCGAGTTAATATAAACTCCTTGTGCGTTTGTTTATGCTGAAGAAAAATTAGAAAAAGTATTCGCTTGTTTTACAGTACATGGAAAATTTTATTTTATTGTATAAGTAATGCTGATAAAGCAGGCTAATTGTAATGATTAAGTGGGTGTAGGTGTGGGGTGTGAGTGGGTGTAGGTGTGAGGTGTGAGTGTGCGTAGGGTACTATCTATGTCCCACACTCTCAAATTTGAGAGAAGGACTTTCTGCTATTTTTTTATTTTGTCCATTGGAATAGGCACAATTTCTTCAGTTTTTGATGTTTTTGTTGATACTTCAAATCGAACTGCATATGCCATATAAGTAACTGGATCGAACAATATAGTTGCCTTTATTTCATCTGAATCCTTTTGATAATGAATTTTTTCTAGATGATTTTCCGTAGTTTTATTTTGTTGTGCTTCAAATTGTAACTGCAGAAAACTTTTCCAATCGAATGATATACAGGAATTTTGTTGAAAATTCTTGATTCGTAATTGATTCTCATGGATGCTCATCCATGCATAAATTCTGTCATCATTATCACAATCATCAGCATAAATAAATGCTAAGACAATTTCTGTTGAAGTGTACCATCTTCTCATTGCATCGATTGTCACAAGTTCCAGTGGTTCATTCAATTGTTCAACAATTAAAGAACATTCTTTTCCAAAACTATCTGTAGCAACAATTTTTAATTTCAGTGGTTGTGGTAAACTTGTATGCGCTCGACCACTTGTTTGCGAGCTTCTTCCACATTTTCCTTTGATTAACATTTCTCCTTTAATACTAAATGAAACCAAAGTATTTGGTTCAATATTAATTATAAGATCAGGTAACCATTTATCTTTGCCATCGAAAGGACCAGGCGCAATTTTAATATTTTGACACACCCGCCATGAACTATCATATATTTGATAGTATACGGTTAAATTAGTGACTGAAATAGGTTTATCACCTGGTTCTGTACGTTTTCGACCTAATATTTCTGGTAGTATTGTTGGTTTTTTTGGAAAATACAATAGAACTGATAAAAAATTCTTGTAAAAAATTTCCTTCAACTGTCGATGACTTTTGATTCATTTGTACAGTATTTGTATTTCCATAAACCATAAGAAGTGATGATGCACCTTCACATTCATGTTTAGTTAATTTCAAGTTCTGAGGAGTATCGGTATTGATTTGTGGTCCTGTTCGTTTAGGTGGTGGAATTGTAGCAACAAGTTCTTGCAGACGTTGAGATTGTTCAGTCGTTAAGATTGTACCATCATGCATTCCACCAGACAAATGTGTAATTTCACCTTTTTCAATGCACATACGAGATTGATCAAGTAAAATTTGTAATTTACCGAACCATGTATCATCACTTGAACCAGTTTTTAAACTACATGTTATAAATAAACATGTATTTGAATCAGCATCATAATCCCATTGACATTCAAGAAACCATTTAGCTGGAGATGGTGGTTTAAATTCCATTGTATTGTCAAGATGACCAATCAATTTGTCTAAAATAATTGATTCAATTTAATTTGAAGCAATAAAATCTAGAACTTTAATGTCATTTTATATCTATGAAAGTAGGGTGTTAGTCTACACTGACAAACTAAACAGGAACTGGAACAGAATCTTATTTTTTTAATCTATGAAATCCAAAACTAAGAGTTTTATTAGAAACTTATATGAAGATCAGTTCATATTAAGAAAGACAACAGTCATCTCGAGAGTGGTTATTACATTTGTTTCTTATGTATATTCAAATCCATACGTATCAATATTCATTGACGATGTCACTCTCAGATCAATAAAAGTTTAATAAGCTGTAATCAGTATTTATCACTCTTACACACATCAGCCATGTGTCTTTCTTCGTACCTCTAATTTGATATGTTAAAACTCCATAAAAAATCTCCTCTCTTACTTTCTCGTTTTGCATTAGCAATTTCCATCAGTTGATAAATTCCAAATGTATAAATACTATTAACTTCATATGTTCCAAACAATCTTATGAATAATTGCGAAATACTATTAAGGCCAATTCGAATCATTCGTTCTGCTTTATTAGTTGCATCGTATTCTTCTCGCTCTAACCAAACAGTAGCATCGGAAAAAAATTGACGGTATGTATCAACAAATTTCTTCATATCTACGCAGATAATATGATCATTGTCTTTGAGTGCAGCTGAACACAAATCTGATTCTCTTAAAATGAAACCATCTTCAGTTGTTAATTGAACTATTTGTATATTACTGTATGAGAATTCTTTAACAATATGTTCTTGTAATATTTGAAGAAGTTCACCAATAGTTTTCGTTGATAATAAATCAATAACATAGATAAATTTATGTAATAAAGATCTTCCAGGACGCTCTTTTTTTCCATCACCTAGTTGAACTTTGATTCGTAATTGTTGCATTTTATTAAGAAAAATAGCAGTAAAGTGATGCGTTATTATCAACGACAAACAAGGAAAAAAACATGTCGTATTATCCCATCTTCAGTCACCGTGACAACAGTAATTATAAATTTATTCAGAGAGAAAGAAAAAAGATGACGCGAGATATCCAAATGATGAGTAGTCGTATTATTCATGTAATATATCTTTTATCATTTGAGTATCGATGTGCTTTATCAATTTACTGTAAATTTGATGTTGCAAAAAATAGTTCTTAATTCCTATATTTAAAAGATCATTTACTATATTACAAAAATCAGTTTTTAGATAATGAGATGAAAAGAATATATATGAGTGAAGAGTGCGCCAATGTGCCGTTGGATTTTGAAAAGAAAAATGTCAATAAATCGGGTTCTACTTGATCGATTTCGATAAATTCTTTTTTGTTTTACGAGCCTTGAGATGACTATTTACTTGTGGAAAAAAATGAAGTTGTCAGCTCTTTCAATACACAAGAAATCGTAGCGACTACGTTATAAATATCTAGCTTTTAACGCCACCCCAAGAAGAAGATTAATTCTTTTTATTCCATTGCAATTCTTTTTGAAATTCTTTTGTTAGCTAGGATTGTAGAGCTTGTCAAGCGCTTTCAGAGTATATTACTACTTTTTGCTTTAGACAGCGTGTTATGAACGACAAGTTATCGACCACGTCCTTTGAGACATTACTAGTTTTTGTGTAGAGCAAGATTTAAATCATTGACATTATGTTTGAATAAAATGTCACTTGAAAAAATTTGATTAAGTATCAATCACAAATAGGGAGAAAACATTTTAATAAGTAAGAGAAGTTTGTTTGATAAACTTCGGTAATTGAAAAATTACACACGAAGTGTAAAAAGACGATATTCACAAAACGTAGAGAGATATTTTCAGTTTGCCACTGTTATGACTCTATGAAAACTGAAATATTTACCACAAAAATTTGACCCTTTTTTCAGCTCAAAGAGTAGAGTAATACCCTAAACAAATTAAGCAAAAATTTTTTGCTATTCAAGAGAAAACTTCATTTTATTAAGAAAGTATAGTGCAACACGAAAGTCATCGAAATTTCATTTGAACAAACTTTACTAGGTACCAAATGAAGTGCTAAGGAAAAAAATTTGAGAGTGTGAGCAACTGTAACGCACCTATCTGAGCACATTTTATGCGTGATATTTGATCTTTTCTTACGAATCGTTCTCATACGTCCTGTTTTTATCATCCCTGACATTGCCTTGTATCTGATATTGTACTTTTTTCTTTTCTTGTGCCTGATACGCAAGTATGGGTGAATGTGGGTATCGATGAGAGAAAAACAAAGTAGAAAATGACCCACACCGTTAAAGTTTCATATGATGTTGAAATCATCCCTTATTAGTATCTGGGATATTTTTCTGCATCTTATTATTATGATTGAGTGATTGAGAATGTGAGTGTGTGATGGCTATAATACTCATCCTCACACCCTATCATCTTATAAAACACTCATGTGTCAGGATCCAGAAAATCAATCATATTGTAAAGTAAGTAAATACGTGCACCTGTTAATTTGGATGTAACCTCACTGACATAAACCAGTCTTAAGGGTACGAATTGTGATGATTCTTGATTTTTTTTCCATGGCTCATTTATACGGTGACTCTTGCTACTGAATACTATCTTAACTAAGCAAAAGTGAACTACTTAGTATTAGGAGAATGTGAGCAGATATTTAAAGAGAGCGCTGAATAGTAACTCACCCACCTTAATATCAATAAATATGTTCAAAATGTACAATAATAAATTTAATAGTTTATTTTTTCTTGCTACAATATTATAGAAGGATGTGTGAGTGTATAGGGATACAAATAATTGTTTAGTCTAAAGAATTTCTAGAAATTGTTCGATTATTAATTGATTGAACTGGTCGATAAACTTTCTTCGTAATATTCTGACGAAGTTGATTTAAACTTTGTTCAGCAATTGGAATTTTATCCATGAATACTGTCCATACAACACCTTCGGTGCAAGGTGGTGTTGTTAAACTACCAGTATAACGAAAAAAATTCTCTCTCATTTGCTTTCATCAATTGACTTAAATTGAATGTACAATTCATAGTATCATTAACATTAAGTAATTGACTTGCAGCATCTGTATACTTTTCCCATTCAGTATTTTCATCATCCCATTGATCAGCAATGATAAAGTGAAATGCAAATACAGCTAATTGTCCATTCTGTTGATTCTTAAAAACAAAATGTGCTTCAGCAGGAAATCTTTCTCCATCAATTTCATGTTCGGATCCATGTCGATCATTTCTTCCCCAATGTAAATGAAAATTAACGAAATAAAATTGTCCTGTTAAACCACCACCAGTAAACCATAAATCGTTTTCGTTCTGTCCATAAGTATGTTGAGCTAATGTAACAGCAACTTGGTGACCATTGTTTGTCAATGTAAATAATTCATTTGAATTATATTTTGAAGAAAATATCAGTAATGGATATGATTCTAGGGCAGTATCATTTGAGATTATATTGATTGGAGACTGACATAATCCTGCAGCAGATGGAAAATGTTTTGACCATGCAGATGGATCGTCATAATCCCAGTAATCACTGGATTCTTCAGTACAAGACATTTAAATAAACAGTAAATATAACGTATATGTTAGAAGAAATATATTGTCGTTGAAAATAAGTACTTTACACAAGTAACCTCGTTATATATATCGGTAAGTGCTCGTAGAAATTATTAATATTATTGACGAGAAAAAGTAACGTAAAAGTACATTCTTTTTCTCTTTTCTTTTCTTTTACCATTTGATTAGTTGTCATTATTTAAAGTAGAACAGAACGAATAACGTGACTGACTAAAGAGAATGACGTGTTTATATATACTTTTTGAAAAAATAAAAAAATATCTTTCTTTTGTTTTCTTCAATTAGATCGAACGATTAAAGAACATAGCAAAGCTCTAATGTCTTTTGAAGTTTTTACAAATAGATCAGAGTGTGGGTGTGGGTATGAAATGAATAGAATACTAACACCAACACCAACCTCTTGTGAAGATAAATAAAATTATTAATAATATGATTGAGAAAGACACGCTTTACGTAACCAAAACTGATTCTTGACTTGTACATCTTGCATATCTACCTTCTCCATCTTTTTCGTATGAAGTTATTTTTTATGTGTTTGTTATTCGTACGATATTTACATATGCTATAAGCTCAACATTGAAATGAAAAGGATTTATTTGATTGAAATAATTGAACGTTATTTTTCGGATTAGGTAGAATATGGATTCGATCCGTTAAGTCTGACATGACTTTAAGCAAGATTCAATCATTTTTTGTTGTTTCAATGTTTTATTTATTATTTTATTTTGTTTATTGATTTCTGAAATAGCTGATAATTAAAAATTACAAGTTGAAATAAGCATATTGGTTTGTCATTTACTGCAGTAGATACGTTAATTTGATTTAATTTGTGATTGATGGGGTCACTCCTCTATTACCACTCAAACTTTCGTCCACTTCTCCATATATCGTACACGAGTGGGAGTATGAGTGTGGGTGTGAGTTTTTAAGACTTTATACGACTGACCATTACGCCGCAGCAGAGCAATATTGAGACAACAGCATATAAGATCCCCACTACTCCCATTACTGATGCAAAGCTTTTCACAAGTCCGTCACACCTGAAAGATGAAAAATTTGATACGTATATGTAGAAATTATAAATAAGATATAATTTGATCTTAGCCTATGATCTCATTCAGCTGATGAAATCTTGTATAATGATTTATAGGAAATGAGGGTGATAATGATCGCTTATTTTCGACATTCAGTCTATAGTAACTCTACAACGCTAGCGCGCATAAAAAATCGTGTATAGAACCCTGTTAGATTAGACAAAATGTTATGAGAAGCTTCACTTCTTATATGATTCTACAAATCTCACTAGAATCTATTTTAAAGATATTGCTAACTAAAAAGATTTCATACACTATTGTAAGTTAAACTTAAAACTTGATCATATACGATCGATATGGGTATATCTCGAGGAATTTAAAACGTTTCTAAACTGTGTAGTAATTCGAAATTTATAGAATAGTTAATGTTTCTACATTAACCTGAAATCTGATTTAATTTTTGAAAAAAATCGTTTCCAGAGAAACAGCCTACCATGTCCCTGTTTTTATCAAAACATCGATTCTAACATGTTACAGGTATATTTTTCTAAGTGATGCTGTGATTTTCTTCATTGGATAATCTTTTATTTTATAACTATTTTTATGACGTCATCCTTAAGAGCTTCAAAATAAAAACTCATATTTAACTGTAATTAACTGCAGATAACTGAATATTTAGCCATCGGTTTTAGTGGCATGGGCAGATGCTAGTCAACTTACAGATATTGAAAAATCGAATAAATAATCAGCACACAATATTCATTCTTTTCTCAAATATATGAGTTTTCTTTTCGATAGTTGCAGCGAGTAAATTATCAACATATTCTGTCATCGCATTGTGTGCGTATGATACGCCTCGAACAAACGGACACAATCAATTACTTACTATAATAAACAGATATTCTTGTCTTGTTGCTGATAAGAAATAGTCCGCTATATGTTTTTATTTGGTACTTTCTTTATGTGACATCTTTATAAGTAAATTAGTTTCTTCTCAAGCATTCTTGTTTTAGCCGACAGACTTCGTCTATATTCTAAATCGATTATTATATGTCATAGATTTCAAGATCAGAGGTCGAACAGCTATAGATGAAATTAGTCGTTACTGCTGAAAATAGAAAATCTTAGTAGACTATTTAATTTCTACAAGCGACTTTTAAGTTTCCATCAGATTATTTCACAGTTTGTAAAGCCTTGATAAGATATATTTACCCTAATGAATGATCCGATGAACTACCGTGCCATGCAAACCCCTATCAATCGAGACAAAATAAGCTTAATAGAAAATGAAGATTCATAATTTATGTAACTGTACCACACTGCTCCAGATTATGATCAAAATAGCGAGTAGGATGACCGGTATATGAAGTTTTGTTGCGTATCCTTTCTTGAAACATTTCACGGAAACTATCTGAAAAACAAAAACCAGATCAAAATCTTTCAGAGCATAGCTTGACAAAGCTTATGAGTTACTTACCATATGAATTATGAAAATAAAACCAAACCCAATTCCAATACTGCCGAAGACGATCAACCAGATAGGTAGTCGGGGTTCCTCGGGACATTCATTTTTTCGACTTGCACCGATGATGAGTGCCGCAAAGAAAGTAATATACAGTACAATAATGAAGAAAAGGGTCATACCCTTCCAGAATGTACCACAACAACTCATCCTACTTTGTCTAGCAGAACAAAAAATACGAGTTTACTATCTGATGCAAAGAAATCAGTTATACTGAAAAACGGTTTGTGTGGTTGTCTAAAAAAAATGAAATGTAAAACATGATATAACTGTTGCTATCGATAATAACATCTATCTGACAAATCGTTTTGAGTCAACATCGTAAGTGCTTAATATTCTTTAGTTTTAAGCAGTAAAATTATACCAGCATAACTCTGGGGATGACAATTTAATCTTGAACATATATTGATAGTGTTAAAGTTGAAATAAACTGTTTTAATTGTGATTTTTAAGTTAAAATAACTTTTTTCAAGTTCTATATTTTTTCATTTTATTGCAATTTGTAATCGTTTGTTACGAGCAGTCAAAGTAAATGTAAACAGTAGTGTTTTCATCTATAAAATTTTTAAGTTTGTTAGTGTTGGTTTAACGTCCCTTCTCTACAGTTTGGAAAATCAACAGAAAACTATGTGGCACTCTAAAGCAGATTTTTCAAATTTAAAGTTATAAGCATCATATTTTAATTGTTAAATCGAAGATTAACATTTATCCCTCTGCTGTCTATAGGACTATGATCTCGCTGTAGCATTTTGATACCATGAACTATCAATATCACATTCAAGATTGTATTTGCGATGGGATCATTACTAAGCTATTTGACATGGTCCAGATTATTGTTTTGGTTCAAATTTCTACTCTTATATTTCATCACCCCCTTCGTCTAGACATGATTCACAAAAGCACAACAGACGATATCTATATCTGTCCGTAAGGAACTGTTAGAGATCTTCTCAAGATAACCATGTAATCGATAATGTTAAATGACGACCATTATTTTCGAGCAAATTTTTCTAATAGTTTCGATTCTAGCAAAACTTCATTTCATTAGTCTCAGTTCTCATATTTTGATTGCCATCTGATTCGTACGGCTTGCTTTAATTTTTTATCCAAATGTAGAGAACATCATTTTTTTTAAAATCTCTATATAATGTTGTATCGATATCTTCTGCTTCTAATTTGTAAATTTATTTATGCCTCCCTCTATTGTCAGAAACTACAAAATTAAAAATCGTGCAACTCATTCACTAAAAAGTTCGAACAGATAAATTTTGTACTCGACATAACGCTGCTCTCCTTCTATTGAAAACATAAGTCTTAAGTAATTGAATTTTGTCTTAAACTAAATAATTAAGATTTTACTCTCTAGATACCGCATGAGAGAATGTTTTTAAATTAAATTTTTTCGTCTTCTTATTTTAACGAATATCTTACCAGATATATATTGTTGAGTTGAAGATATATGAAGCTGTCAATAACTCTGTATATCTATAGGTGAGCCTGGTTTGTTCTTCTTTCGAAGAAAAACTGTTATCATTTTTTATCTCACTTTGCAAATAAATGTCTCCTTGTTAAAAACAAGGATTGATGATTTCACCATTTTGAATCTCATAAAGTTTGAATAAAATGATACTTGGACATATATATATGGATGTCAAGATGCGAGGGTGTGGGTGGATGTAGATGTGAATGTGGGTGGGTGTGAATATTATATTCACATCGACGCATACCCATCTCAGCGTCATCGCCACAGACACAACCACACCGAAATCTGCGAAAAAATGAAAACGCGTAATCTATTACCTTGTCAAAAGGTTTTATATAATCATCGCGTACTTGAGTTTTTTTTCAACTATTCTGTTTCAGCTTTCATTCTTATGTATAGAATCACGAATTTGATGGGTTCTATAGGGTATGGATGTGCATAAGGGTGTGAGTATCCTTCTTATCCGTCAGCAGCCACACACACATATACACGTACCCTCAAAGTATCATCGAGCAAATCTTAGTAAGAGTATTTATTTATGGATCATTAAACTCAAACTATTTTGTTTTTCATCGCTTTATTCACAAAAATTCTTTTCATATTCAATTATTAAAAATTCGACTGTGACGTGGCAACCTTTAAAATAATCGATTAGAATGACATCTCTTTAGAAATGTTCCATGTAAAATGGTTATAATATCTTAATTGCACCAAATAGATAAAACAGTTTGATTTTTATAGAATTGATTGTTACCCAATCGAGCAATTTTTCTTGATAGATAACAAAAAAATCAAATTACTTTCGTTTTCTACTATAAAAAAGTTATTATTTATTGAGAAATATTCTTCATCTCAATATAAATAGTATATTCATACAAAAAATTAATCTATATTTTATTCTTTTCGTTCTCTCGCCTTTGTGCTCTTATATACATAATACATGAGGTTGTGTGATATAAACTCAAATGAATAATGAACTAGTGAAGAAAACATTATATACCGATGATAGTGGTAACACTATCCCACCTCTTCGACATTGCAATTACAATAAAATAAATAGTAGAACAAGCACACAATAATTTATATATCTTATTGTTTATTACAATGTTTCTTTAATTTTATCTTGAGGGTGTGGGTGTGGGTAAGGATATGAGTATTACATATACTTGTCCTTACCACTCATACCCATACTCACCCTTAAGATGGTTAAATGGCGAGAAACGACATTGGTTCATGGCCATCTCGTCCACGAATTTAGCCGTCTTTTTGTCGTTTCATGCCTACAACAGCGCCGGAAACGGTGTTCAGAATTATCGACTTGGGCGTTGTACCTCGAGAATGTTAATGAAAAAATTGCTATTAGTTTCATCTAAAGGCTTACGTGAACAACAATGGATATTTCCTAGTGATACATTGGCTGGACTTCAAGAGAATAAAGATACGTATATGATTCTGGTGCCAACGATCGTCGCACTTGAACAATATTGGAAGAAACTGCCAATGGGACCATTAACTCGGCAACAGATGCAATACATCAACATGAAATTCAAAGAAAATGCAGTTCAAGCTCTTAAAGCTATTTAGAATGATGTTTTATTTGATGACCAATCGCAACATTCCAACTATTTGATGAAATAGGACGAGATTTATTTACTGATCATTTAGATGGTTACGAAGTAAAGTTAAATTTTTTATTTTATCAAATGCTTTATTTATTTTAATATGCTGAAAATCCTTCATTAACATCAATTAATTTGAAAGAAAACCAATCTATTTCATTGACTGTTCTAAACGAATATGCATCAGCGAAATTTTCAATTATTTAACAAGATTTGGAAAGACGACAAGAAGATGACACAGAAGTCATTGAAGCAGTTTCTGCACTATATTTTTTTAAATTTTCTTTGTATTAAATAATTGATTTTAATGAATATAGCTGCTATCATTAGTTGAATCATTAGAGAACAACATGCTCAAATTGGTATCCATAGCGTTAGTTTATCCACAATTAAAGATATGAATCAAGAAGAAATGTTTTATTTCACTTCAAATAGATCAAAAGTTGCTTGGTCAGAAACGAAAGAAGTTCTTATTCGACTTTGTATCGCTCATGCTCATGAAGCTATGAGAGTTTCTATTTTAAATGTAAAGTTTATTTTGTTGTTTTGTGTGATATCGTAGAGATTAGAAGATGGAGAATTTGAAAAAACAGATACTTATGTTGCACATATAACTTGTTCAGAAAATCCACCATCTTATAGTTAATGGCTACGTCAAAGTAAGAATTGAATTTATGATTTGTTTAAATAAATAATTTTAATTTTAGACGTCTATTATTTATAACTGATACATTCTTTCGAGGATTATATGAAATTGATTGGCAAGTTAAATATAAAGATTTAAAAGAAGGACCGGTTCTAAAACCAAATTTAAATCAAATACAAATTCTTACAAATGTAATTTCATAAAAAACGAAGTAAACTTATTTAATTTTTTTGTATTTTTAAGGAAGCAAAAGCCACTGGAACATTTAAATCAATATGTTCTTATGATAAAATGGTCAAATATCGAAATATATCTGAAGCTCGAGTAAAATAATTTATTTTCTTTATTTGTTCAGACTTTTTTCTTTTTTTTTAGTACATTGTTGATAAAATAACTAAGAACATGTGTACAGTCGGTCTTGAAATACTTTAGTATTTTGTTACATTTGTCTGATATTGAAAAGTTGATTTATTAGGATTTATATATTTATGTTAACGTAGATTTCTCTTTTTGTTAGTTTTATTTATTTATATGAATAAACAACAAACAGACGATAAAATGAAATGGTTTCAGTCATAAAAAAATGACAAACTCTAATTATTCTTTTGATAATGAAAAATAAGAGCAAGGATCATCATTCTATGAATCATCGACAATTAAGATCTTCGATATTTTTGGTATTTAATGTGTAGCTTGATTTAAAAGAAACTCTGATAAAATATTGATTATATGAATGGCATAGTATTTCACAACGTTCATTCAATGATCTTTTTACTTATCGTTGAATTCATAATCTTCGAACGGCTACGTAATAAATAAGTCTATTGATAGAAAACTAGATCGAAATCGTTTTCATATAAATAATGTAGTTTTTTCATCATATGAAAAATCAATAGTACTTGAATAAAAATGTAAAATGATTTGATATTAACGTCAAGTATCTTATTTAACAAGATTATATTTATTAATAAATATACCATGAGAAAAATTTAATAGTGGGTGTGGGTATATCTTGTTTATTGCACCCACACCCACACATACCCTCAAGATGAATTTAAAGATATTGAATTTTCAATATGGAAGATAAGTTTACCAAACAATGCACTAGAATGGAAAAATGGGACTTGTAATTGTCCAAGTTTCTTCAAAGAATATATTTGCAAACATACAGTTGGCATGGCAATTAGAATGAAATTCTGTAAACTGCCACCAGCAGCAAAGGATATACCACTGGGAGAAAGATGACGACCAAAAAAAGCAATGAAAACTTTATTGATACAATAACTGCAATTAAATTCTTCACTTAGTTATTCATCAATCTTTACTGAGCAAAATTCATATAGTTACTTATCATTTTCTAATAATTTATATAGAGAATTACATTTTTTTACTTAGATTCCAAATAAAATACTGAGCAAAAAAACATTGTTTACTTCGAATTTACTTGAATAAATTACTTTAAAAAAATTGAATTTTTTACTTGGTATTTATTTAAAATTACTTAGCAGATAAATAGTACCCTTTTTTAAACTTTTTACTATCTATGAAAATCCTATTGCTAATAATAACGATCAACATTCTTCTAATAAATCAAATATGATGACAAATATTTTGACTTGAAACTCTTTTCATTATTTATTCAATTGAAACAATTGCATTTCATGTTCATATTTTGTGTTGAAAATAGGATACATTACAAATCAGATTAAAGAGATTATATAAAAGTATGTGAAGTATAAGTAATAATTTTTTATGACAAGATAATAATAAAAGACTAATCAATAGTTTAGATTTAATTTTTGGTATTTTTTGAATATTAGGTTTAATCGATTTATCTATAAAGTTAGATATAATTGGATTCAAAGACAATTTTATATATTAGAAAAAAACGATAATTAGTAAAAAATACTTGTATGACTGTAGATGTAAAAATATTTATCTGTTATTAATGAAATAGTTGAAGAATAATTATTGTACGTTGGTTTGAGCATTTAACATTTTATAGTAAATTCCACGTTTTTGTATTAGCTCTGTATGAGTACCACTTTCTACTATACGACCCATTTCAAGTACACGTATTAAATCACATGAACGTATTGTTGATAGACGATGTGCAATAATAATTAATGTTCGATTTGGATCTTCTATTTGAGCTTGATCAAGAGTTTCTTGTATTATCTGCAAATTAAAAATGTTAATTATATATAGAAAAGAAAAATAAATTTACTTGTTCATTGTATGGATCCATAGCACTTGTAGCTTCATCTAATAATAATATTTTAGGTCGACGAATAAGAACTCGAGCAATAGCAATACGTTGTTTTTCACCACCTGATAAAAAACTACCTTTTACTCCAACTTTTGTTTCATAACCCTATATGACAATATAAAATTATATTATTAAATAATCAAAATATGAATCTAACTAGAGGTAATTGTTGAATAAATTCATGAATATTAGCTTTAGTTGCAGCAAGAATAATTTCATCAATTGGTATATTTTCGAATCCATATGATATATTTTCAGCAATTGTTAAATCAAATAAAACTGGTTCTTGACTAACAACACCCAAGCGAGAACGAAGCCATTGAAGATTTAGTTGTCGAATATCAACACCATCAAGAATCTTATTTATATTAGAATATGTTTTTATATAAGTATTTGAATTATAGATATAGAAAAGAGATACTTACCAATTGTCCATGTGTAACATTATAAAATCGTTCTAATAATTGAACGATTGTTGATTTTCCACATCCAGATGCACCTAAATCGATTATAGTATTATATGAATGATAAACAAGAAAATTTAATTTATTTTGCACATACCAACAAGAGCTATCCGTTGACCTGATTTAATCGACAATTGAAGTTTATTAAGAACAAGAACTGATGGACGAGCTGGATACATAAATTTCACTTGATTAAATTCTGTTTCTCCACTAAAGTTAGTCTAAACAGTTCAAGATTAAAATAAATAGAATTGCGAGACAATAGTTTTTTTGTTTTTTCTTTTACTAATTCTTGTCCTTTGTTTGATTCATTATCGATAGTTGGTATTCGATCAAATAGATCAAAAAATGCGTGAGCAGCAGCAAATGATGCACCCATACGTGGTGCTCTGAAATGAAAATAATAAAAACAAAACATAAATTATATATCTTACAACATTCCAACAACTTTTAGTAATTCTAGTGCGAACATTCCAAAAGCAGAAATCCTATAAAAATAAAATGAATGATAAAAGTTAATTTATAGATTATTGAAACTATTGTTTTAATTACATAACAACATCGCTCATGTCTAGTTCATTTTTTTCAACAAGAATCAAAGCACGCCAATACAAAGGTCCCAAAGTCAATGGACTCATCGACCAGTACAATCCACATACCATTGCAAACAGTGCTTCAGATCTCCAAAACATTCTAAACAAAAGATAATTTATTGAAGATTGAAGTGAATATCTGTAAAAAAAAAAGAGAGTTATATTCGATTTTATCGGTCCATTATCGATATAGAAGAATATATTTTTGACAAAGTTATTCAAAATTTTCAAAACAATTCGGGCTTTTTTATTACTTTCGATATATTTAGATCTCAATTTAGATCTGCTATAACAGGAAAATAAACTAACTACAATCAAAGGAACTATCTGATCAAATTTCGACCTTACTATTGTTTTCACAATTAATTTTTACGATTTTTCATTACTACGAAAAAAAAGCTCTTTATCAAATATATATATATGCATAATATTCATAAGACTAACATTAATATTTGATCAATCATATTTGAATATTGTCGTAAAACTTCATTTTCCATTGATAACTGTTTAACTGTACGCATATTAGTAATAACTTCAACAGCAAGCTAAACAAGACAGAACATAGAATGAATATTTAATAATCCCTGGATCAAATTATGTATAATAACAAGATGATTTTACCGTACTAGCTTGAGAGTAAATGAGATCAGACTGTGTTTTTAACCATGAACTTAGTCGTATATCTATAATAACGCCAATCAGTATGATAACAAAAGCAATAGCTATGATTATTGTTAATTCCCAGTTGTAAAAAAAGCCAAATAAGCAGCCAAAAACAGATAACGATAAAGTTTCACAAATAACACCTAATCTTGTACCAGCCATGTCTTCAATGGCAGCTGCATTAGAAGAGAGTTGATTACATATTGCACCAGAACTGTTTTCAGGTCGATCAAAATAAGCGACTTCTTGACGAAGAAAACATGCGAAAGCTTTCGAACGAATGCGACTAACTAATTTCGCTCCTGCGATTCCAAAAGTCACATACTATAAACAAATATGAAATAAATCATTGATATAGTTTAGTAATTATGTTATTACTTGAAAAAAATGAAGAATCATAAAAAGAGCACCGATAAGAATAAATAAACTACTTGTAACTAATACACGACGATGTATATCAGTATATTTACAATCATTGAATTCCTAAAATAAAAGAAACATTCAACAGAAAAAGACACATCTTTTATTTTTTCTTAGAATATTCATATGAATAAAAGTATTTACATTGATTATTTTTGCGAATAGAATCGAGAATACTGGTCCACGTAATCCACCAAATAAGCATGCTAAACAACCAATTAAGATAAACATCCATTCAGGACTATTCATCTTCATAAGTCTAACAAAGATAGATTTTCTTCTTGTTGATATTGAACTTTTCTAAACAATTTATTTTATTAATAATAATAATTTCTTTCAAATTATTAGATATTTATTTATTTTTACTTGATTTATATCAATTGTTTCGTTTTCACTCAATAGACGAACACGTTCCACTATTACAAAAATCAATATAAAATAAAATCAAGTTTATAAAATATAATAATAATAACATACATAGTTGTTCTTCATCCTCAGCTACTGCTTTTGCCATATTCATTAAGCCATCTTGTGTGCCAATCGTTTTTTCAGATTGTTGCATTTTGATCATTGTTTGATATTTTCCTCCTTCTTTCGCTAATAATGTTTCATGTGTACCTTCTTCAATTACACTTCCTTTATCTAATACATAAATATAATCAGCATTTTGAATTGTAGTCAAACGATGAGCAATAACTATAGTTGTACGATCTACATATATCTATGATAATAATATAATCCATAATAGTTAAATGATTGTTACTTTTGCATGCTCGATCAAGTGCTTCTTGAACAATTTTTTCACTAACATTATCAAGTGCACTTGTTGCTTCATCTAACAAAAGAATACTGGGTTGTTTAACAAGTGCACGAGCTAATGCAATACGTTGTTTTTCACCACCACTCAGTTGTATACCACGTTCACCAACAAGTGTCTCATATTTCTGCAAACAAAAATATTAATAGAAATATAGATAAATATTTAAGAACAAACATCTGGTAATTTCATAATGAATTTATGTGCATTAGCTTGTTCTGCTGCTTGTTCAATTTCTGTACGTGTTGCATTCAATTTACCAAAACGAATATTTTCATAAATACTTATTCCAAATAGAATCTATTTTAATATAAAAATTCGACAGAGACTAAAAAAGAAAATGAAAGAAACCTACAGGTTCTTGACTAACAACTCCAATATTTTGACGCAATTGTTTGATTTTATAATCTGAAATTGATTGACCATCAATTATGAGTCTACCTGAGGAAGGTTCATAATAGCGAAGAAGAAGTGATAAACATGTACTTTTTCCTATCACAATAAATTTCAGTATTAAAATATTATGTTTGTTTAAAAAAAAAAAAGATTTACCACAACCACTTGAACCTACAAGAGCAGTTGTTTGATTAGCACGAGCAATCAATTTAAGATTGTTCAAAGCTGTTGCATTTTCTCTCGATGGATAACTAAAACTAACATTGTCAAATTCAATATCACCATTAATATTAGAAATAAATCTGTCATTAGATATGTTCTCTTGTAATATTTCTCTTTCATTGATATTTTCATCATGTACCTATATCATAAAAAATATTCTTACCAAGGTTTGATGTCTAGTATGCATTCGATTTTACCTCATCAATAAGTCGAAATACGGATACAGCTGCACCTTGAGCTTCCGAAATTGATTGGAAGAAAGGTCCAATATTATTAAGATAACCTAAAGCTTGTGCAAACATATTTACAATCTAAACAAAAGTTCTCTTTTCAGTTAGTCTCTTGCACAGGGATGCTATAGCTCACTTACAACAAGAATCTCACTAATGGTTAGTGTACGATGATTTCCATAAGACATAAGAATAGAACCAAAAGTGAAACCAATTGAATAAACTAGAAAGTTTATAAAAATTAACCAACCAAAAAAAGCGCCAAATGCAATATCTTTGCGAACAGTACACCATTCATTTAGTTTTAATTCTTTATCATATCTAGATGAAGATAAATAATAGAGTAATCTATAATTTTTTATTTATTTACTGTTTTTGTTGCGATTTACTTCCATTGAATGAAAGAACAGTTCTTAATGAACTAAATACTTCTTGAGCGATTTGTCCAGCTTTTGAATATGTACTTAATTGCGCTTCAGTTTCTTTAGTGATGAGCTGTAATTATTGATAAAGATTTTAGTGAATAAAATAATAATTTCTACCCTAGCAAACATCAATGAACAAACAACAACAATTGGAATTGTACAAGACATAATTAAAGACAATTTCCAATTGATAATAAAAGATATGATTATACTGAAAGTCATGATTAGAATAAGTTCAATTACTATTAAGAATTCAAAACCTATCCCGTTTTTGATCTTTTCAATATTACTGTAAAGAAAGTCGATCATATATAATTGTTTGCTATAAAGTTATTATATTTGCTTACATAAAAAGCTTCGTATTGTATTGAGTAGTTTGATTCGTATCCAAATATGTCATGTTCTAAGAAAGATGAAAGAGAAATAGCAAATTATTTAATCTTAAATCCTAATTTAACAAGTGTACAAATGTATTGAAAATAATCAATTCATTATTATCATATTCTTTAATGTTATTTTCTAATTAATTAATTAAAACTATTTCTAAATTGTACCGATAAGAAAATTCTTTATTTTTGTTACGGTAAAATTACCTTCGACATGATGTTTGATATTGCTTCGTATTATCATCGTTGTCTCTTATATGTTTTATATCGATTATTTTCGTAATTTAATTGATATGAATGATCTACTTTACTTTATTTTATGTTTGACACGAAGCAAGAGAAATAAATCGAATAAACTGTAATTGAACTAATTTCATCGTTGATAATCACTTATATCTGCACTAAATTTAAGTCATTTAGTAGAAATTTGATACTATTCAATTTTGACTTATGATCACGAATTATTAAGTTTTTTTATGGATATAAAAAAATATTTTTACTTACACGTTGAATAAGTGATTGAAAGAGTAAAATACTCATACGAGATGTTTGTCGTTTCGCAGCAACTGTCCAACACATATATTGAAGACAACCACATAGAAATACAAGAATACCAACACCTACATTGACACGGGGAAACAACAAATCGTTTGCTTTTTTTTGAACTTTAAATCATCATATTCAATAGACTTACCGAAGAACAAATAAACTAAATGCATAACGTTTTCTCGAAATAAAGGTGTTGACGAAGCTAATGTGGATGAAATAGTTTTATTATCATAATGGCATAGTCTAAAAAGAAAAAATTTAAGAATATTTAAAAATAGATTTTTTTAGTAAATTACTTATGTAATCGATCATAATTTAATGGATTAAGATCAATACCAAAAGGACATACACTATTATTGATAATAGTAGATACTGAATTTTCATATTGATTATGACAATCAACAGCAAATGATGTAGTGGCAAATAATCCCGTGATTCGACCAAAAGAATTACATTTGCGAGAATACAAACTACATCCCCCAACATGAAACACACAGCAATAATTATAAGAAAAATATCAATACAATCAGCAAATCGAAACTACGATTAAATGAAATGAATTAATTCATATATATATATTTTAAAAAGAAAAACAACATGCTTTCAACTTAGTACTTTCTCCTATGATATTTTATGTTTGAATATACTTACCAATTGAAAAATACCGACTGGAATATCTTTAGTAGTATGATTGATCTCATCATCTAACTTTTTATTCCTCGCATCAGTCTTTTGCTGTTTGAAATATTGACGCCACTCAGAAAAACTATAAATAATGATGAGTTATTATGTGTTTATCAATATTATATTTTTTTAAAAATGATACCTTTTGTTTTCACTGACACTGTCATTGTCATCAAGTAATTTGTCATGTTTCTTTAATAATGGCTCTTTATCACTCATGTTCTTCTTTTTCTTTTCAAATATAAATTACTATGAAGGGTAAAACGTATTATGGGTCTATATGTATTACTATGAGGAGTGATTGAATATTCTTTGCTTCACTGATTTTGCGTCATGTAACTATTTTATCTATTTTCTTTCATATTATCAAAAAACGTAGGCAACGCTGCGTTAAAGACAAAAATTTCAGATATTTGTTTTGCATAGATGTAAATATACCTAATGTTTTCTTCATACCTATCGCGTAGGAGTAATATGTTATCATTAAAAAGTCAGAGACAGTAGATTCAATAATTAGGTATAGACGAAAAAAGAAAGAATAAATTGTCGATTGCTTTTAATTTCTATAGAATCATGAAGCTTTAAGTTAGACTTTTCTTAACGGTAAAAAAACAATATAATAAATAAAATTCATATATAGATTTATAAGAGATATAAGTTTATTTTAAGATTATTATTGATTACGAAATAGTTCTATAATACCAATGATATTTTCTATGCGACTAGATATGATATTCATTAATAATATGAATATATTTACAAATCAATCAATTATAGATAAACAATTCTATCAACCTCTATTATAATATCGAGTTAGGAATATATTTCTTAAAGAAAAACTAAAATTTATACTTTATATGATTCATGTTAAATAAATGCAATTATAGATTGGTTAGAACTCATGAATCTTTAAAATAATGAATCTCTTTTTTAAATGTATCAATGAAATCTTATTGTTTGAAAAGAATAATAGAACAATAATGATTTCACATTTGTCTGACACTTGATTTAGTTCTGTTCGTTTGGTTTGTACCAAGAAACTAATTGCATTTAGATAACAAAAATAAAGTGAATGATTGATTTCTATGAGTTTTTCTATTAAAATCAAATAGGGTGTGGGTGTGGATATTAGTGACGTATTAACTCCATACCCACACCCACACCCTCACAAATGTTAGTAGTTATGTGAATTGAAACTAAACAACTGAAAATAAGATAAAAAACGATCTGGAAAAAAATTCGGTAATACTTCGTTCACTTTCGAATTTCTCGATGTGATACTGGAAGGAGAAAAAAAGGAAAAAAGAAGTGTCTTTATAGAAATCTTGAAGCAAATGATATTGTTTTTGGTTTGGTATCATTATAGATACAATATTAACGTCGTGAACATTGCTTCATGGTAGCTGTTGTTCCATCAGCATTAGTAAATGTAATACTTGCACATTGACATTTGCAACAATCCGAATCAGTTTTACATTTACCTTGTATTGGACAACTGGTGCCACATATTGGTGTAACATTAGGATTAACACATGAACCATAAACGTCAGTTTGAAGATGTCGAAAGCATTGACATTCAGAGGTAGTCTGACAACAATCGGCATTCGTCGTACAATTCTTATTTGAACAACAAGTACTGGAAACTGCTGTTGATGTTGTAGTTATTTTCGTGGTTGTTTTCGTAGTAGTTTTAGTCGTAGTCGTTGCCTTAGTAGTATTGTGTGACGTTGTTGTATTAATGTGTATGGTTGAATTAGGTCGTGCAGTAGTGGTAGATGCACAGTTGATAGATGAAGGATTATTCAGGCAGAAGATAGTATTATTTCCACTAGTGCAATATTGTAGTTGTGGATTGTAACATGTGCCAGAACAAAGTTGATTTCCAATTGGACACACTGTGCTGTTATCACCATAGCAAACAGAAGTTGTATTATCATAGCATTGTTTCTGACTTCCACAAACTTGGATATTACTATTTGAATACCAGTAGTAATAACCGGGACAAATTGTTTCATTATTTATACAAATTGACGAATAACTAGTCATACATTGTGTCCCACATATATATGGCGATTGACATAATGTATTGTTAAAGCAGTAGAGTTGAGAAGAGTTATAACAAAAAAGACCATATCCCTGCCAAAGAAATTGATTATAATTTTGTACATTACAAACTGAATCGCCAACGTTACAAATCTGTGTGTCATTATAACAATATTGAGAGTTTGAGTAACACACACCATTACATGAATGAAGACAACTAATATTACCATTAACACAGACTTGTAAATTGGGATTATAACAAGTTCCTCCGCATACTTGTGAATTCAATCCTTGACAAACTATACTACTATTTATACAAACACTTGTTGTATTATCATAGCATAATCGTTGTTCACGATTGCAAACTTGAACATTTGAATTATAATAGTAAAAACCTTGACAGGATGTTTCATTATTTACGCAGGCTGAATAGTAATCGGTTCGACACTGTTGTCCACATGTTTCATATAAAGGGCAAATTGCATTTTTATCACAGTTCCACTGAGATGTATTATAACAGGATAGACCAGCAGAGTGTGACACCCAATAAGCTGTTTGTACATCACAAACTAATTCTCCAGTGTTGCAGACTATTGTGTTATTATAACAATATTGAGAGTTACCATAACAAGTACCATTGCAAGAGTTAATACAGCTAATAGTATTATTATTCATACAGATCTGTGTACCAGGATTATAGCAAATTGAATTACATAATTGTGAACTTTGTAGTGGACAGATAGTAGTGTTATTTACACATACACTAGTAGTATTATCGTAACACGATTGCTGACTTCCACAAACATTAATATTACTATTCTGATTCCAATAGTAGTAACCGGAACAAATCGTTTCGTTATTTACGCATGTTGAATACACGTTAGTAAGACATTGCGTTCCACATGTATACAGCGATTGACATAATGTATTGTTAGAGCAATAGTATTGAGAAGAGTTATAACAAAACAGACCATATCCTTCCCAAAAAAAATCCATTATAATTTTGTACATTACAAACTGAGTCACCAACGTTACAAATCTTTGTATCATTATAACAATATTGTGAGTTTAAGTAACACACACCATTGCAGGAATTAATACAAGTAATAGTATCATTTACACACATTTGAATCGTAGAATCATAGCAGGTTCCTCCGCATACTTGTGAATTTAATCCTTGACAAACTGTACTACCATTCAAGCAAACACTTGTTGTATTATCATAGCATAGTCCTTGTTGACGATTGCAAACTTGAATATTTGAACTATAATAGTAAAAACCTTGACAAATCGTTTCGTTATTTACGCATGTTGACCATGCGCTAGTAAGACATTGCGATCCGCATGTATATGGTGATTGACATAATGTATTGTTAATGCAATAGAGTTGAGAAGAGTCGTAACATATAGGACCATATCCTTCCCAAAGAAATGCATTATAATTTTGTACATTACAAACGGAATCAGCAATATTACAAATCTTCGTATCATTATAACAATACTGAGAACTGGTATAACAAATACCATTGCAGGAATTAATACAAGCAACAGTATCATTTACACACATTTGAATAGTAGGATCATAGCAGGTTCCGGCGCATGCTTGTGAACTCAATCCTTGACAAACTGTCATACCATTTAAACAGACACTTGTTGTATTATCATAGCATAATCCTTGTTGACGATTACAAACTTGGATATTTGAGACATAATAGTAAAAACCTTGACAAATCGTTTCGTTATTTACGCATGTTGAATACACGCTAGTAAGACATTGCGTTCCACATATATACGGTGATTGACATAATGTATTGTTAAAGCAATTGAGTTGAGAAGAGTTATAACAAAACAGACCATATCCTTCCCAAAAAAATTGATTATAATTTTGTACATTACAAACGGAATCACCAACGTCGCAAATTTTCGTATTGTTATAACAATATTGATTGTTTGAATAACACGTACCATTACATGAATTAATGCACTGAAGACTACCACCACCACCGCCATCGACACATCCTTGCACAGTTGGATCATAACAACTATTGGATCCACATGGTAGTTGTCCATCGGGACACGATTTAATTCCTATTATAAGTAACAGCAATAAGAAACTTTGTTTGATCATCCTATATATCACGTTATTCACTATATAAGAAATGTATTATGTATGTAGAAAAATTTAAAAAACTAAATGGCATCCACCCATTACTTTCTCCTGTTGATTTATAGTGATTTGCTTTGCTTACGGTAGTTACTGCGCAGATCATCTCTGTTTATTTTGTCTAGTTTGAAATATTTTGTCCGCGAAAAAAACAAAGGAAAACAAAGTGTTACCGAAGTGTCTTTTGTCGACGAAACAATAGACTCAAAGCGATTTCTTCCCATTAAATTCTATTTGGAAAAAATAAATACCGAATTGACTATAACTCATACATTAGCTTTGTCTCGTTCTTCGATTTTCTACATAAGAGAATTGTTTATTTCACTTCTACTAAAAGCATTTTGAGTTGTATGAAGAAAATGGCGTCTTCTACTTATTCACGACAAATGATTTTTTCCCTATCAAAAGCGTATGATCAGATGAAATAAAATTGTGTGAGTGTTGGTAGGTGTGATGAGCACACTTCTGAAAACTGGTATGACTCTTTTTCCCACTGTGCTTCTTATATTCACCTTTTCACCGACATTTACTTTCGCAGATTCATTTATTTAAGAATTTCATGTTTACATTCAAGACTGCTCATCACCCACACCCTTAAAATGAATTCTGTGCAAAATTCTACTTAAAATTCATCTTTCTGTATGAGTATTTCTGGTAGACTTCGATTTCCTCGATCATCAATATTAACTTGACCAATTGCTTTATTTCCATGTTCATCTTCAATCATAACTAGATGTGTTAATTTTTGTTTTTCATTATTGATTTTTTGTTTATCAATTGTATTTGATACAAGTGTATAAATAATTTGAGCTAATTGTGGAATTGTTAAAACACCAATAAAACAAGTTAGAAATTCAATGATTAAACCAACAAAAGTTAACGGTCGACTAGTTCCTTCACCTAATGATGAAAATGCATTAACTGAAATCCAAATAATTTCACTTAATGGTTGAAAATAATTTGTTTTATTTGAATATGAATTCGTTAAAAATTGAACAGGAGATGAGATTTGATCGAAAGCAAGAGTAAATAAAGCAAAAAAAAGAACAATCAATCCAATAATTTGAAATGATTCAACATAAATTGATAGATGATTAGTTAAAACATACATTATTTGATAAGCACGAGAAGAAAGACGAACACTACGAAAAATTCGTGCAGCAAATTGAATAACAAGTAAAGTATATAACCATGTCGATGGAATTGACTAGCAAATAAACATAGAACAATAATGAAATAATTCACAATTATTTTGTTACCCATATATAAAGAAATAAAGCAATAGGTAATAATGATAAAATATTGATTGACATAAGAAACAATGTTATTATACGAAATTTTGGACGTATAAAATAATAGATAAGTAATTCAATATATGAAAAAAATAGAATAAATATTTCAATAAATAATGCTTTTTTAAGAACTAATTTTTCTTTATAATTCTGATGAATAGATAAAATATTTGCCAGTTCAATAAATATAAACGATGTTATAACTGAACAAATTGTTATAAGTCCACTAATAATTCGAAATAGATTAAATTTCTTTCTTTGAATTTCATAATCAAATGTAAACCAAAATACTCGACGATATTTACCTAATAAATATACAGTAAATTATTTACTAGTAGCGGATTTAGGGGGGGGGATGACCGCCCCCCTTCCGAATTTTTACAGCAAAAATAGATTCACACTACTTCGATTGGACTCAAAGAATAGCTTTTAGCCAAAATCGCCCCCCCCTTCCAAAATCCTAGATCCGCTACTGTTATTTACAAACACTAATAATCTTTTTTTATACCAGATGGAATATAATAATCAATGGTAATAAAATTTGAAACAATATCATATATAATTTGAATATTAAAACCAAAAAATACCAGTTCATCATAGAGAATTTCTGGTGGATAATGTATTTCTGTTGATAAACAACCATGATGAATATAATATGTAATTATATAATTAACTATTCCAGGTGTTCGATAGAAATGATATTGTTCTGTAGATGAATTATAATATTTTAATCGTTGAAATGGATTTCCAAGTAATGTATGATAATATTGATTAAGTTGATGAGCATATATAATTATTGGGTTTTTTTCTCCTAGATCATTGATTTGTACAAGATCGGAATGTTGATATAAGTTTTCTTCGTGTGTCATTATATTGCAATTGTGTATATAATGCGCCAAGAGAAAAAAAAAACATAAGGTTTCTTTTTAATTTTCATATAATAAATATGAAAATAAAATTATATATTAAATATGAAGAAAGGCACGAAAGGTGAGGTTGTTTTAAGCCCATGTCAAATTCAAGCAACACGTCTTAATAGACTTGAACATCGTCGTTTACAAAATCGTATTAGTTTATTACGTAATGATTTGAAAATTGATCTTGCTCGATTACATCGAGAAGAACAAGGTTTAATCTATCATTTTACACATGTTGTAAAAGTTGTTAAACCAAATCCAAAATATCAATTATGGAAACAAGAATATGCACAAGATGGAAGAAAACATTTAATAGGTTTAGTAGTTTAATGCTTTATCTAGTGTTTTATTATCCAATTTGATATTTTATAGAATCGGTCGAACGTAAACAAAAATATAATTCAATTACTTATCAACTGCCACCATCTTTATCAGATGAAATTCCATTAGAACCATTACGTCCTTTACTTTTATTCGCGGATAATGGTCGTAGAAAATCTGTTGATTATATTTTTGATGAAAATCAATATATTCCTCGACCAACAACATCACCAGTGAAAAATCGATCGAATACTTCACATCGAATGAATTCATTATCATATTTACTTGATAACTATTCGAATAATATAATTCAACAACCACCATTTTATTCATTACCAACTATGAAAGCAACAAATTCACGAAAACTAATTTCAAACAAATTACTTAAACAAGAAAAAACATCAAATGTTAATGTTCTTTATCGAATAACTTAACAAAATTAAATCATTCATAGATCGATAGAGAATTTGCTCCTGAATATCGCAGCAAAGAAATGACTCGTCTAGTAAATCCGATTAACTAGAATTTTCTCATACTTGAGTGTCTTTTTTTATGATACAAAATATAGAAGAAAATACACATTTATGTTTATAATACGAAAAAGAAGATTTAAAAAAAATTGAATCATGTTCTAATATAACCACGTCGGTATGCAAAATCTTTTCAAAACAAGATTAAATGAGGTAACTAAGGTAAAATCTTATTATGTCGTACTTCTCAAACAAATAGAGTTCTTTTAAACCTTATTAAATCTAAATTTCTTTCATTATTCCTGATCATGACACATGTATTGAATTAGACTTGTGTCAGCCACCTAACACTCGACATTCTTATGCATAAAATGTAAATTGATAAGAATAGATATCGAAAGTATTGTATAATATATTTTCATAATTAACATATCAGTTTATAATAAAAGATGAATAACTAATAAGTAGATGTTTTTTTAATGAGATAGAAACTATTTTGATGATGTATTCTCGTTATTTAAGCACTTGTAAATAAATTCAATGTTAATTTTGTCATCCAGGATAATTATGTTATTTTTGTATTCGTCTAAGATTGTAAACAACAGGAACTAAGTACTTCACTGATCATCGGTCTATTATAATAGATAAGAAAAATGTTCATGCAGAACGTTATCATATATAATCAAGGTTAATCTATATTGTTTAATTATATCAACTCAATAATTTGCTTAGCATGAATATGAAAGTAATTTTTTTATGTAGAAATAAAAATTTCTTTTCGAATAATTACACAATTGCTTTTAATTAAAAGTGTAAGAACACTTACATTCTTTTTTTTTTCTTTATGTAAAAGAAGGCTTTGTTATTAAAATATATTATTATTCAGAATATAAAAATATTCTATAGTTTAGCATCATGCACATATATTGCATGATGAAAATAATAATAATCATTTTTCGCTTACTTGTACTCACAAATTCAAAGAAAGATAACTTATCAATGATGAGCTAATAAAAAAATTCTTTTTTTTTCTATCTGTATTTCTTTATATTAGTAATGAACTATCCAACAATTTTCCACGTCGTCGACTTCCTTGCGCTTAAAGAGAAAATAAGAGAACATGCTTTTCTTCTGTTTGAAGACTAGAATTTTACATATGTTATTATAGTTCTTTTTTTTCATTATTATTTAATTATCTTTCTAACTGTTATATTGTAGACATGTTCCTAAATCAATGCAAATCTTGAGATTTTTTTTAGTTAATAAATTAATTCTCAATTACATACTATTCACATTAATGATAATTTAGCTAAATATGAGTAATATTTTTTTTTCTTCTTGGTTGTTTATAGATTTTTATCTCAATATTTAGTCTAAAAAAGTCTATTGTTGATGATCATCATAATTCATTCATGTTTCTATGCAAGATAAATAAGTTTGAAACAGTAGATAAAAAGGAAATAATGTCATTCTGCCTCTAGCTTTTCCTTTCTTTTCTGTTTTGTTCTCTTTTTTTCCCTTTCTTTTATCATTTAGCATTTGGTTGGATTGACATTAGCAAAATCTATTCATCATGAATATTACAATATTAACAAATATTCAAAATGAATATTCACCCTACCTTCATGTGATTCTTACTATTACGTTTATACTTATTCTTATTATTGGCTTATTTGGTAATACACTTGTTTTATTATCAGTTATGAGTAATCATTTAAAAATTCGTCGTTCATCTACAAATCTTCTTCTTGTTAATATGTCATGTGCTGATTTAATAATTCTTATTTTTAATATATTCGATATTGTACAATTTATACTTGATTCATTTTGGCCAACGGCTTGGTATCTTGGTTTATCACTATGTAAAATAGTTCGTTTTGGTCAAGTATTAGGTTGTTATGTTAGTGTACAAACATTACTTGTGATTAGTATTGAAAGGTATACAAATTAAATTCGTTTTTTTTTCTTCTATAAAATAAATATTAATTTCTCTCCAGGTATATTTCAATAGTTAGTCCAATTAAAATCTCGCAGATGAATCGTCGTAAACGTCTTTATATCGTATTTATTTTCATTTGGTCATTAGGATTTTTTTCAGCATTACCAAATCTTTATTTACTTAAATTACATCCATTTTATAATCGTCCAACATATTATATATGTGGTTTATCTGATCATCGTACACATTCACATTTAATTACATTTTATAAATATATTGAATCGATTTTATTCTTCTTTTTACCAGCATTTATACAAGTAAGGAGAATTAATCTATTCAAATTTCTTTTTGTCCTCATGCTATTGACATACTTTTTTGTTGTTGTTATTATTCTTAAATAACGTTTTGCAGATAAGTGTCAAGGACAATTTTTCTAAGTAAAACCATCTGTTTTATATTTTTTCTTTTGAACGATACATTTCTAATTACCAGTCTTCTGGAAAATTTGACATATATATTCATGACAGTTAAGACGAAGACATATTTTTCCGAATAATCATATTAGAAGGAAAAAAAATTCAAATTATTGTATATTTTAGACAATTCTTTATATAATTATTTGCCATAAAATCTTTTTGGTTGATCGTGTTGTACAAGCAGATTGTCATGCTCGACAATTACAAGAAAGTATAAGAAGTGATACTCTTCAACAATGTTCTGATTCAAAATTAAGTTCTTCATTTCCATCACCATTGAATGTAACAGCATCAACGATGATATCACCACGTTCACGAACTCATGTTTCATCATCAACAACTAATCATGGAAATAAAACACGTAAAAAAGCTGTGATTATGTTAGTATTTATTGCCATATTTTATTTTATTGCATTTTCACCAGCACAAATTAATTTTATTTATACACAAATAACTCATTCACATCATCTTTATGAATATCGTTTATTTTTTATCGTAACAATTCTATTGGCATTATCATCAACAGCTTTTAATCCAATTTTATTTTATATATTTACGAAATTTTTTCAACATAAATTCAATATTTTATTACGTCGTATGTGTACATCATGTCGTTCATCATCATCAACAAGGCGTCAGAATAATATTCCAATGATTTAAATTTATTTTTCTTTGTATTCATATATATATATATATATATTATTAAATATTTTAAAAAATAATAGAATTCATCTGTTCGTATTTTGTTTGTTTCCTATGAAAAATATATAGGATCTATTCAAGTACGGAGAAGTTTGAAAGCTGTTTGTATTTTCTGATATTTACCAGATATGCAATATTGCATTTTTATGATGAATTTCTAAACATTATTTGTTGATTAGATTATGAATAAATTAGAGTATATATAGAAGAAAAATTATATTTGATTTTTCCTATAGGATTACATTCAATCGGGTCAAAAGAACATCAGTTTTAATCAAGATCAAATCTCTCGGACTCCACGTTCTTTTAGAACATGTCTGATAGCATTTCATGGTAACAGACTGAAAGTTTAATATACAAAAATAGGTTAAGTTAAGTGAGTTCCAAATTGTAGTTTGTAACTATGCGTTTTCTTTCCTTGAGTATCGCCAGTCCACAGTATCAGTGGCGGATTGAGGGGGGGAGGGCGATCGCCCCCCTTCCGAATTTTTTTGATTTTTTACAGCAAAAATAGGTTTGCACCACTTCGATTGAACTCAAAAAATAGCTTTTAGCCAAAATCCCCCCCCCCCCCCTTCCAAAATCCTAGATCCGCCACTGCACAGTATCTATTGGAGTAATCGAAAACAGATGATTACAGTTTTCAGCGAGAGTTTTTCGCGAAAACCTAGATATCCGTAGACTCTAAAATTCGAGCACACTTAACTTGACCATAAAAATACGATTCAGTATTTAATTAAAATAGAGTTCCATCACTAGTATAAATATGGATGTAATAATACACCTTTATAAATGATACTCGTGATAGAAATCTTGATCTTTTATTTAATCATGTCTATAAAAAGAATGTCTAAGCATATAAGACTACACCTTCATACATAAATAAATAATATTAGAAACTAAGAAATTACCGGAGGCGAAATGAAGAAAATATTGATTTTTAATATATGATTAATCAACAATTAGCGCCATCTGTTTGAAATAACATAAAATTTTTTTAAATAAATTTTTCTCGTATCATTCAAACTTTTTTATTATAATTTACCTATAATTCTATCTTTAATTCAATGAAGGTATCAATTATTCTCCAATGAAATCTCTTCTTCTACTCATTTATTTTTCCATATTTTACAAATATATGATCAATGAGATGGAACACTAATGTATTTTTTATCCATACGCCAGAAACAAAAAAGAATTATTAGTAAAATTATTTTTTCTTTTAAGAAAAATAAATAATTTAGTATAGTGTGTATTGCATTTACACAATGCCACCTAAGAAAAAACAACATGTAAATAATAGAACAGGAATTTATTATTTAGCTGATGAACAACGAAAACTTTATCCAGCTTATTCTCGAATGTATATTCAAGATTTAATTTTACTATTATTACCTCAATGGCGTTCAATGACACTCATTGAAAGAAAACCATATGAAGAGTATGTTGAATAATATTTAAAAATAGATAAAGTGAAAATTTTTTTCCTACTTTATTTTCATAGTTTAGCTAAACAATATAAACGTAATCGAATGTTAAATAATGAAAATGCTATAACACCTGTTATACCATCGAATGAAGAAGCATTATTTATTGAACAAAATAGTAGTGAAAATAAATTTTTGGATTCATATTTATCGAATGATCTTGTTAATGTATTTAAACAAGATTTAATTTTTGTAACATTTCAAATATTTTGTCGAACTGATGATGAAGATGGTGGTGACTATTATCCAGCTGAAATTGCTATTATGAAATATTCATTTTCGGATAATATCAAACAAGAATATTATACAATAATGAAACCAGAAAAATTTCCCGTTGGTTATACTGGTACAGCTATTGATTTATCTCGTGAAACACATCAAATTCCACCATTTGATTTCATTGATGCTAATGGAGATTATTCAAAAATATGGCAAGAAGTTAAACGAGTTATTGGTGGTTAGTAAAGTACAGATCTATTTGAAATTTTATTTAAAATATTTTTTGTGATTAGATTCAATTATTGATTCATCAACAACAGAACCAGTTATAGTATTTTGTAATGCATTTGAACGTATGCAAACAGATTATCTTCTTAAGTGGCTTGCTTCGAAAGATGAAACACAAGCAATGAAACCATTATTTCGTGTTTTTTCATTTGAAGCTTTAGTTTCTGCAATACTTCGTCGTCTTGATATTGGTGATTTTGCACATCAAAGTGTTCGTGAACAATTACGTCGACCTGTTTATACATTACAAGTTAAAGAACGATGTATTTATCATGATTCATTAGCTATAGAATATTGTTCTCGTGCTAGAAATCATGGTTTTAGTCTTTTTCTTGATGGATTTATTCGACAACGTTTTATTCAAACATTACCTGAAGATGTTCAAGCTGAAATAATGGCTGATAAATCGTTGACAAAAATTTTGCCAACAGATGATACTATACATCACGAAAATTCAATATGTAATGAATCAATCTTATCAGGAATGGATTCGATTAGTTCAACATTTATTCAACGACGAAAAGGTTTACGTACGTTAACACAACAACGAATGTCTGAAGATAAAAAAGTAAAATCAGAATGAATTATTATTATTTACCTTTTTTTTTAAATATTTTAGTCAACTGAATTGAATAAAGGTCAATTAAAAAATATTGGTTCACATGTTTTTATTGATTCATCATCAACAATAAGTGTACGTTCATCAATATCTCAACAAATGGGTGCTTTGTCTTTTGAAAACAAAGTAAGTCATTCTGATTTATTAAAAACTATTTTGAATTATTTCCGATGATGTACGAATATGAAAAGATATTGATAATAATCTTGAGTATTAAGCATCAATAAAAAACGAGGGTATAAGTTCCTCATTAAAAATGACAGAAACAGTAAGTCTTATGAGTGTATTCTTTTTCTCGTAGAGAAGAGTCCAGCAAACATAAATTGTCTGTCCGGAGGGTCAAAAAAACATCGAAACCCGATTTTCGAGAAAAGACATTTCTAGAGGTAATTCGATGCAGGGACTTCGAATCTGATGTTAATTTTTCAGAATTTTTTTTATAAAATCTGACGAAATGGTTTTTTAGGTTGGGGAACACGAATCGGATGTTAGTGTTTGCAAGTTATATAAGCAAAAGGTCCCGGAGCATTGTAGAACACCATTTTCTACGAGAAAGAGCTAAGCGAGTCCTTAGGCGACCGTTACTTGTATTTGCTAGATCTATCGCCGAAGTTAAGACTTCCTCGAGATTATTGTATATCGATATATGCATATAGTTTCTTTTAGACATCAAAACTAATCAAGCCACGTGTACCATCACCAATTGAAGTTGATTGTCGTTGGCCAATATCATCATTATATGACAATAATAGTGATGATGAAGATCAATATATAATGACGGGACGTGGTTTAAAAAAAGCAACAAAACCTACATCTACAATAAATAGTAAAAAGTCAGATAATTTTGCTTATGCAAATGGCATTGGTCGTGGTCGTGCTATTAACTCTATAGTTCCAATGCCAGGCTTTCGAGTATGATACAGTAAAATAATAAGTAAATAGTGAAAACTTCTTTGATATATGAAATCTCATTTTTTGAAAATATATTTAACTTACTTTGTCTTTCTTTCTCATCCGTTATTAGATATTTTTTTTGTTTTGTATGTGTGTGCGCATGTTTGTCAGAATTTATTTTTTGTATACCTATTAGTCTATTTTTCAAGTGTAAATTTGAATTGATTCAAACGATTGAGCAATTCTTTGTTTTTTTTCTATGATTTTGAACAAAAACTATCGACAAGAAAAAGTTGATTTGACTGTCTCTTGATGTTTTTTTGTTTTTCAAGAAATAGTTATTTTCAGATTTTTGCATATGAAATGATTATCCGTATATTTCTAGATTCATATTTGACAAAATATGCCAAAACCAAGTCGATCACCATTTTATTTCTATGCTACTGAATATCGAAATCGTCAATGTTCTCGTGGTCAACGAATGAATATTAATGAAGCAATCAATGCATGTTATGATGATTGGAAAGCTTTATCAGAAATCGATAAAGAACCATATAAAAATCAATATGAAGAATGGCGTATACAATATCGAGTCAATCCTGAATCAGTAAATACGTCCAATCAACATACAAACCGTAAAAAAGAAATTTCCAATGAGAAAATTCTTAGTGACCGTGATATACCATGTGAAGAATTAAAAAGACATTATGATCGTTTTAGTTTAGAACGAAACTTTCTAGCATGTGAATATTTACCACTTGATAAAAGTGAATTATTATCAATGCCAATTTATATAATAAATTTTCAAGTTTTCTGTAAAGTTGATGAAGAAGATGGAGGTCAATTTATTCCAGCAGAAATGTGTATTTTACGTGTAAGAGAACAAAATACATATATTAGATGTTTTATTTTCTCTCTTGCTTTAGTATACATTAAATGATGGTGTAACAGTATATAGACAAAAGTTTATAAAACCGGAACAAATTCCTATGGGTTATATGTCATCATGTTTAGAACATGCAAAAGAAACTCATGAAATTCCAATAAGAGACTTTTGTGAAGCAACAGAGAATTATAAATTAATTTATCAAGAATTAAAATCTTTTCTATTTCCAACTATAATAAATCAAGCAAATAATATGTTAGATGATGATGATCGAACACGTCGTAGATATCTTCGATTAACTCGTCCATGTATTTTTTATCCTGCAATAGAATATGAACAAACCATTAAAATAATCGATTGGTTACAAGAAAAAGCAGAAGGTTAATCAGGATAAAAACTAATAAAATAATAATAATGTATTTTTTTATTTTCTATATCAAAAATAGGAAGAAAGCCAACGAATGATACACGTTTTGTTCATCTTGCAAGTATTGAATCATTAATAATGGTTTTAGCTAAATTAAGAAAACAAGAAGTATCACGTGATGATATGAATAAAACATTTCAAAATGCATCGTATTCATTTTTAATTGAAGAACGTTGTCCATATCATTTTCAATTAGGAATAAGTCATTGTTCTGTTGCGCGATGTCATGCAGCAGCAAAACTTATTTCAGCTTATTTAAATCAATTATATGTCCCTGAAAAACCGATAATAACACCAGTAATGACAGATAAATCTTCGCCTTTTTCATATACAAGTCAATCATTAAGTAATTCAAGAAGCAATAGTTCTATTGGACGACACCAATCAATATCAACAAGGTATACTATTTATTTAAAATTACACAACACAATGACTTTATATATATATTTCTAGACTTAGAACAACACCTCAACAATTGATATCAAATCAGTGTAATTATGTCGATACCGCTGATTCACTTGCTTCGTCTTATTATCCACCCGAACAGAAAAATCATAATAATGAACAAGTTAAAAAACTACAACAACAAAATTTTCATCGTTTACTTTCAAATGCTCAGTCTATGCCATTATCAGATAATAATCCAATAGATAATCCTCAACGTACTATTTTAAATCAACGTAAACAAATTTTACTTCAAGCACTTCAAAATATTGATCAACAAATCGAAGAACTTAGTACTGAATAATAAATTTTATGAGTCTGTCTTTTTTCTTTTTTCTCTCTCTCTCGTTAAATAACACCTTCGCAATTTTTTTTCGATAAGCATGTAAATATATTTGTAGATGGCTCATCTATTTCGTACAGTTTTTATTCAATCATTAAGTAAAACAACACGACCAATGTGGTCAACAGTACAACGAAATATGTCGTCACATAATAAAGAAACTGATGAAGAATTTGATGAACGATGGAAAGCATATTTTGATCGACCTAAGATTGATGGTAATTCAATGAAAAATATTATTTAAAGAAAAAATTAATTTCACGTATTTTAGGTTGGGATATTCGACAAGGAATAAATCATATGAATCGTCTTGATTTAATTCCTGAACCAGAAATAATCTCAGCTTGTTTACAAGCATGTCGACGTGTTAATGATCATTCATTAGCTGTTCGATATTTAGAAACAATTCGTTATAAATCCAATGCTATTTCAAAACAAGTATGGCCATGGATTCTTCAAGAAATTCGCCCAACATTGGATAAAATAGGTGTATCAACACCAGAAGATTTAGGTTATGATAAACCTGAATTAGCTTTAAAATCGGTTGATGATATGTAGAATGAACAATCGAAAAAAGAAACTAATTTACTTTTCTTTTCCTTTCCCGATAGTTTTCTTTTGAACACAAATATATACATCCTTTTTCTTTTATTTTTCATTTTTGTCTTTATACTTTAACAAATAAAAATTTAGATTATGTTTCTCTAGATACATGATTTTCAACAAATACAATGCTAAAACTAAACAAAATAAATAGACAGTGATCGATGTTTTTCAAAAATCAAGCAAACAATAATATTGAAGAATGAAAATGTATGCGTAAATATTATTGTTGACATCGATGTGCATTAAATCACTTGATTACTTCCGTCGTGTGTATTTCGCTATTGGGCACACTAGTCATGTAATTGAAGAGAAGTGAAGCGCGACAATCTTTCGTCATTATAATTTTGACTCGAGGCAATAAGGTAAACAAATATGGTACTTAACTAACAAGCTTACTAATAAAGATTCTTAATCAGAATAGCGTGATAAATATGATCGTCTCATAATTTATCGACATATCTATAAATCATTTCGTTATATTTCCGTTTATTAACCGCTGTGTACTTAAAAATACTTTAGGACAAGAAAAAAACAAACGATTTTTTAACAACAAATGAATTTCTTTTTCATTCTTAACGCCGGAGAAATATAATGCCATTTAGTGAAGTATTGAAAATGTCTGTAAATTTTCAGAGCGTGCTTGCGACACACATACAATGCGTACTTTTTTTTTAAATTAGAAAAAAAAATCGAAAGGAAATATTCATTATTTTGTCTATTATATTTAGATTTTAATTCAAATTCATTAATTATTTCAATATGGTTATAATGGATTTAGGTAAATATATCGATATTAAAGCGTATTCATCAGAGGTCGTCATGGGCTGGGACTGGTCATGATTCCCATGGAATGGGATGGGACGAAAAATATGTCCCATGACGACCGGTGGTATTCATTGTTCGAATTTTCGAACGAAAAGATATACACATACGATATTTTCGATCTGTATGTTTTCTTGAAGAGTTGTCGTTCTTGTATGAGAAATTTACCAGGTTTCATATTTTAAAAGATTAAAATATGTCATATGGGATTATTGAAAATAAAAATAAAGAAAAGCCGATTTGATAATTAGATAAAGCGGTTTTATTCTATAATTAAAATTTAAATTGAATTTTTTAATTTAAATTTTAATATTATAAGATTAGCTTTGAAAATGATGGTTCTCCTACGCGTATTAGTTAAACATAAAATATTTTACGACATGAGAAAGACTTCTATACATTAACATTTAAAAAACATCTTAATCTCACTCATAATTAATTAGCTTGACCTATTCTGTGTACTTTTTGACTAGTGAGTTCATTTTTTCTTATTCCATGCAATTAAATTAACTACGTGTCTATATTAGTACTCCATAGTAGGGAAAAATGTACTGGAAGTAACGATGAACTATTCAAAAAATATCGAAACAGTATGATATAGATGTTTTTTAGTTTTCTATTTGATGTACATATATATATATATATAGATATTATTCAATATAAAATATATCCGGAATGATCAATTTTATTGTATGTGTATGTCAGATGATAGATAGACAAACAATGTAGAAGATATATATATGTATATCTATAAGAATTTTTTTGAAACAACATTGATCATAACCGGAATGAAAATGAGTTCATCTACAGATGAAAAAGAAAAACAATAAAAAATGAATAAATGTTAGCGTATATTAGTATAGTGTGTAAGCATACACATACACTATTCTTTTTATTTTCCAAGTAAATCATGAAATTCTTCGTATGATATTGATTTGTCATCATTGGTATCAAACATATAAAAGAGATGTATGTCACTTGGATCCATTCCTGTGTTTACAGGAGAACGACCAAAACGTGGTCGACCAATGATAGCATAATATTCGTGTACCTTAAAATTAAAAGTTTTTGTTTTATACTAAGATAAATTTTATTTAACCCTTTCCGTCCGGACGTTGCCATATGACAATATTTTACCGTAGGGGGGTACGGTATTTTACAAACAGGCGGACGGAAAGGGTTAAATTTATATGAAAACATACAAGTTGTAAATAACGTCTGAGTTCTTCACGAGAATGAAACCGTTCTGGACGTGCTGGTGGTGCTGAAAAAAAAAGAAAATTTTAAATATTAGATGAAAATATTTAGTTTTTAAATTTACGTGGAACGTCAGTAAAACTCGAAAGTACTCCAGCCGTTTGTATAGCAAGAAGAACAAACATAAACCATGATACACGATATCCAAGTTTATCGTTTATAGTAGACATAATTTAGAATTAAATATGAATTTGATGAATGAGATAATTGTATTTGTTTTAATAGTAAGAGGATGGATAATGTTTGCCTATCGATGCGTTAGGGACCAAAAAGAATGAGAATGAATGTATATAATCTGAAAATGCTCTTTAAACAGTGCACATCATAGATGAGAGAGAGAGAGCGAGAGGGAGAGAGAGAGAACGTAAAGAAAATAAGAAGAAGAAAAGAAAGAAGAAGAAGAAGGGGAAAAAAGTGGTTAATTCTAATAATTTTGAAGAAAATGAGTTCTTATGCATGCTTAAGATTTTTTTTATATTAAGGATTGTTCATCATATTCTCTTTTTTTTCATTTAATTAATAAATACGCATATACTATCAAATAATCTTTAATTATATATTTCAATTGTTTATTACGAAAGAAAAAAAAACTTCAATATATCTGTTTTTCTTTGACTATAATTGAATTCATTATTATATAGTAAATAGAATCATTTGATGATTTCTTTTTTTATCTCCTCCTACCTTTATTTATGTTAAGAAAAACGCAAAATCTTGATTGGTACTTTAATGCTTAACTATTTCTATGTATTTTATCCTCACATGAAACTACGCAAAAAAATCTCTTGACATATCTCTAAAATGAATATGAGAGAAGTCAACACAATGAATAATCATATTTAATAATGTTTTTTTAACTGTTTAATATTGATGACAAATATTTCTTTACGCAAAAAAAAACACACGATCAATCTAGTAATGTCTCACGAGAGATTAATACTAATAATAATACATGTACTTCTAGTCAAAGATAAAAACCAATATCTCATGAGATTAAAACACACTCTTTACTGGATAACTTTAGCTTCCAGGTATAATGAACTTTTAAAAATCAAATGAATCTATTCTTTCTAATACATACTATCATAAGAACACTTCTTGACATAGGAAACAGACAAACAATAATTTCCTCCACTCTAATTTTATTTCATTTAGCATTCAATATAATACGTATATTTAAAGAAAATTGTTCAAACTGATATAAGGACTATATGTTCCTATAGAGTACCAGCTGTTTTATTAATACAATAACGTATCTACGTATAAGCCTGATGTTTTATCATACAATTATGCCATAGTAGGTCATTGTATGATAAAATAATCATGTTAATTAGTAAATTTAACTAATTATTAAAATAAAAATAGATATACGTAATTTCTAATACACATTAATAATATATGAATTTAACAAAGGTTAATATTGTTTAATTTACATGGACTCATATGTACTTAGAAATTATTTTTTTAGATTATCGATTTTTTAATACATTTAGTCAGATATAATTCCTACTATTTATATACAGATGGCATCTATTACAAACCGACATATACGTTCAGTCTTATCATACTATCACTATATAAATATTATTAAACATCAACGAAGATCTACAGTTACTGTTACTGATGAATATCGACCTGTACTTAAATCTCGTGCATCTATTAAAGGTGTCGAATTACTTCGAAATCCATCGTTCAATAAGGTAGAAACAAAAATAGAAAAATTAATTTTTTGAAAATAAACAAAATTCATAATATTAGGGTATGGCATTTTCACTTGAAGAAAGGCAGCATATGGGTATACATGGTCTTCTACCACCAGCAGTACTTTCACAAGATATTCAAGCCCTTCGTGTTATGACAAACTTCGATCGAGCACAAGGTAAATTTCTATTTTATTTGAATTCATTTCTATATTTACTAAATCAAAAGATGATCTCGATCGTTATAATGAATTAATGAATTTATCTGAACGTAATGAAAAATTATTTTATCGAGTTATTGCAGGTATATATATTCATATATCGTTATTACTAATTTTATATCTAATTATCTATAGACAATCTCGAGAAACTTATACCAGTTGTTTATACACCTACAGGTAAATATTTAACTATTATTTTATCAAAGAAAAATATATATTTCTTATAGTTGGTCTTGCTTGTCAAAAATATGGTTTAGTATTTAAACGACCAAGGTCTAATTTCTTTTTTTTATTAATTCTAAAATTATTCTAATAAAATATTTCTATAGAGGTTTATTTATTACAATACATGATAAAGGTCATATATATGATATCTTATCTAATTGGACGGAACAACATGTAAAAGCAATTGTAGTTACAGATGGTGAACGAATTCTAGGTTTAGGAGATTTAGGTGCTTTCGGTATGGGTATTCCTGTTGGAAAATTACAACTATATACAGGTAATTAACTAAAACGTGCAATTACGAGAATAGAATTCACTTTATAATGAATATAAGTGTATCATTATCTATATTACGATTAGTAGAATAAAAAGAAAATTATCAATGATTATTTTTTATGATTGCTATCTATTATATGACTATATCTACAACGTAGTTTCTATTAAAGGAATATGAAAAGTTCATAGTAATTATTAACAATTTATAAACTCAATGAAATAGAAGAACTCTCTTCATGCGTAATATAGGAATTAGTATCAGTTTTCATAGTTGTTTTATTTTCTATTAAAATAATAGTGATAAATATCCTCACATTACATCATAGTACTTAAAAATTTACAATAACATTCTTCTAGACAATAGAGAACCTGATACCGTCTGGTCGACTTTCGATATTTTTTTATGCACTAGAAGTTGTGACGTCACAATGAGATCTTTTGGCATTTACTTCTTTTCAATTCTAAAACTGAATTAATATTATACTATTTTTCATAGCTATTGCTGGTATACCGCCTCAAAATTGTTTACCAATTATGCTCGATGTCGGTACAAATAATGAAGTTAGTAAATAAAGAGTAGGTAATTTTCTATATTTATGGTTATTTTAAGGAGATCTCATCAGATCCTCTTTATATTGGTTTAAAACAAAAGCGAGTTAAAGGAAAAGAATACACCGAATTTCTTGATGAATTTATGGAAGCAGTTGTACAACGGTAATGCTCAATATATATATATATATATTATTTAATAATAATGAGATTATATTATTCTAGTTTTGGATGGAATTGTCTTATTCAATTTGAAGATTTTGCTAGTCATAATGCACATCAACTTCTTGAAAGATATCAAAAAGAATACTGTACATTTAATGATGATATTCAAGGTTAGTTAATTGAAAGCGATTGAATGAATTTTAGTATATATATTTCTCGAATTTAGGTACAGCTGCAGTTGTTCTTGCTGGTCTAATTGCAGCACTTCGTGTAACTGGTAAAAAATTATGTGAAAATACTTATCTCTTTGTCGGTGCTGGTCAAGTAAGTGGATATCAAATGAATTAAATTTATTACAAAATCTTCTATGAAATATAGGCTTCTTGTGGTATAGCTGATTTAGTAACACATGCAATGGTACGCGAAGGTTTATCTCCTGAAGAAGCAAGAAGTAAAATTTGGATGTATGATGTACATGGACTTATTGTTCAAGTAAGTTTTTATGAATTAAAAGAAAAACTTCTCATTAATTGTAACTCTATAAACTAGTTATCACGTAAGAATATGCATAGATTTGCTTTTGTTGCTTGTTTTTTTTGATTGAACTAGTTCTTATTGATTGATAGATGAAAAAAAAACTAGTTGTCATTTTATATGTTAAATTTCTTTTTTTTTTGTTTTATCCAGGGTCGACCTCAAGGTGACTTAAACGGTCCTAAAGCATCTTATGTCAAGAAAGGAAGAGCAATTAAAGATCTTTCATCGGTAATTGACTACGTCAAACCAACAGTACTTATGGGTAAGTTTAGTTGTATTCAATCAAAAGATTAATTTTTGCATTTTATATTATAATCTACTTAATTTAGGTGCTAGTGGAGTAGCACGTCTTTTTCATGATGGTGTTCTCAGAAAAATGGCACAAGCTAATGAACGTCCAATTATTTTTGCTTTGCAAGATTGAATTACTTTTTTTTTGCGGGAGAAATAACTAAAATTTTAATTTTAATAGATCAAATCCAACTAGTCGAGCTGAATGTACAGCTGAAGAAGCATATCGAGAAACAGATGTAAACGAATTTCGATTTATATAATTAGTTTTTTCTATTGTTTTCTGTTTAGGGTCGATGTATATTCGCCTCGGGTAGTCCATTTAAACCAGTTGTTTATAAAGATAAAACATTCCATCCAGGTTTTTGATTATATAGATAATTAAAAAATTTATAAGATTATTTATTTCTTCTAGGTCAAGGAAATAATGCTTATATATTTCCAGCAATTGCTTTAGCAACGATTGCATGTGCAGCACGTCATGTAGAAGAAGATATGTTTTTAATTGGTGCTCAAGTAAATCAATTTTTTTTCTTTTTTATTCAATTTCTCTATGATTAAACTTAATGAACTGTTGAAAAATTGTATAATAATTTGCAGTAAAAGCAGTATATTCTGTAAATAGAATTTTTAGATTAGTAAAAATAGAATTCATGTGGAAATCATGATGGCATTATTTAATAATTAATAAAAATGTCTATTCTGATTTTAATACCGTTTCTCTAATATTATGTGAAGCAGACATACATGATTTTTATTAAGAAGATAAACCATTGATAAAAGATTAGACGGAAATGCCTACTTATTCTACTTTTGTTGTAGATTCATTTTGTTTATTAATAAATTTGAGTACTTTAATTTTATTAAAAAATTCTATATTTAGCATTTCGAGTCGAATATTGATAAAAGATCTATGTACTATTTCTTGAACTTGTATATCTCATAGAAAAAAATATTCGATCAATCTAAATAGCCGGGAATACTTAAAATAATACTTTATTTTTTTATTTAAGAAACTTGGTTCATTAGTAACTGAAAAAGATTTGGATGCTGGTCGTGTTTATCCACCTGTACCAAGTATTCATGAAGTTACTGTTAAAATTGCTGCTCATTTAGCTGAACATCTTTATAAACAAAAGAAAGCTTGGAATTATCCAGGTAAATTTTGTTTTCTTATTTTTTCTTATTCTATTAAATATATATTTTTAGAACCTGAAAATAAAGAAGATTTTATTCGTATGCAATTATACGATACATCATATCAATATTTTGGTCCTTCAACATGGAAATGGCCAGAACAACATCATAAACCACGTGACATTTCATCTATTGATGATAATATTGCTCTAGATGCATAAACAAATAAAGATTTATTATGTTTTTTTCCGTTTGTTTTTTGCTTATCTAATATTCAAGTTTTATTTTAAAAATTTTACTAATAAAAAACAAAAATTATTCCAGATGAATTGGCTAATTGCCGTTTCTATTAGTTGTTGTTGTTCATTATTATTTCTTCGATGGTTATTACGTCGAAAACGATTTAATATAAGTGGAAAAACAATTTTAATTACAGGTGCTTCATCAGGTCTTGGTGAAGCATTAGCACGACGACTTTTTAATAAACAATGTCAATTAATTCTTTTAGCAAGACGCATGGATCGTCTTGAAAATTTATGTCAAGAACTTGTACAATTACATCCATCATATCCAAAACCTAAGACTATTCAAATAGATTTATCAAATTTTGAACAAATTACATCTTGTTCATCATTAAATAATATTCTTCAACATGATTCTATCGATTGTTTAATTAATAATGCTGGTATAAGTCAACGTTCATCTGTACTTGATACATCAATTGATATTGTTAATGATATATTTCGTTTAAATTATTTATCATTAGTTACATTAACAAAATTAGTTTTAACCAAAATTATCGAACGAAAACAAAAAAATGCAACTATTGTTAATATATCAAGTTTACAAGGTCTTATTGCTGTACCAGACCGTAGTTCTTATGCAGCTTCTAAACATGCAGTACAAGCATTTAGTGATTCATTAAGAATGGAACTTAAAGAAGAATATTCTGAACAGAATATAAATGTCTGTGTAGTTAGTCCTTCATATATACGAACTGAACTTGGTCAACAAGCATTTAGTCGAATGAATAAAGATGAAAAATCTGGTGATGATAATATATCAAAAGGATACGAAGCTGATTATGTTGCTGAAAGAATTATTAAAGCAATAGAATACAGAGAAAATGATGTTGTAATTGCACCATTTGTGCAATATTTAGCAATTTGGTTAAGAAGATTATGGCCAACAGGATATTTTAGAATGATGGTAGCAAGGAATAAACGATTAAAAGCTAAAAAATAATGTAATTTTATTAATCTTGTTTGTTTTCTTTCATCAAGATTTAATAAATTCTTTTTTATAATGGAAATTTGTTGAATTACTTTAAGTATAATTAAATTTTAGGTACAAAATTTTTCGAAATCACTACAGGGTTTCGAGAATTTAACACATTCTAACTTAAAAATTCTGCAATTAATAAAATTTTACTAAGAAAATACCAATTAGGGGCGGATGCCCGTACACCTCCCTTGGCCAAAAAATATTTGAAGAAGGGTACTGCTAAAGAACCTTGTCACAAAACAAAAAAACTATTTTTCCGCTGGTATGCACCCCATGCAAAATTCCTGGCTACACCCCTGATACCCATAAACGTTTACAATAGATTCTTAAAAAAAATTTAAAATAAGGGAAGGATTTATTCTCCAAAACAGTTAGAATTTTTTAAAATTCTTTTGTTACAGTTTCTATCACTAAGCAATTAGTATATCTATCGTGAAGCATCATTGTAAAAAAACTCATCATATGTATAGAAAAGATGCTCTAAATAATTTCAAAAGATGAGATTTTTTATTTTTGAGAATAGAATATTTTTTATCCTATAAAAGATAGTTTTAATCAATAGAGGACGAGGGCAGATAAGGCCGTTTACCTGTACTTCAAAATATTTCGGCTTCTTGTGTTGAAATCAAGTAACGGATGTCTTCTGATGATATTCCAATGGTTAGTTTTGCTATAGCTGTCAATCGAGGGCGTAGATGGAAAAATCGATTCAGACCTGTTGCAAAACTAACCACTGGAATATCATCAGAAGATATCCATTACTTGATTTCAACACAAGAAACCGAGATATTTCGGAGGGCGGCAAAACGGCCTTATCCAGCCTCATCGTTTAATTCTTCTTGGATATATTTTGAGGGATACGATCCATACCAACTCAATATAGAAGAATCTCATTACTTATTGTTTCGATCTCTGAAATATTTCATATCTTATTGAGAACAATGATTGATTTAGTTTTCTTCAAAACTTTTCACTTAGATTTGAACAAGTTATCTTTTCTCTGATATAAAATCAATAATATATTTAAAGTACATGTTCTTCTAGGAATTAAACAGATAGATAAAATAAAATCTACTACTAAGAATACAAAGAAATATAAACATATCTACAATTGAACTCGTTTATCACAAAGTGACAATGATGTATGATTTTATTCATACATGATAGTAATTGTTAGTTTTTGTTTTCATAAAACAAAATAATCTGACTGAATCGAAGAGATAAATAGATGAAATTAAAATTCAGTTATTATTTGAGTTATTTGTGAACATAATTGTTGTAAATCTTGACTTTTAGAAGTAAGACTATGATTAAAATCATTCGTTTTTAGTTCAAATAGATCACGAAGACGTACTAATTGTTGAATATTTCGATTTGATGAACGAGAAGATGTTCCATTTAGATTTGAATCTTGTAATGTACGTTTTTGTAATTCATTACGAAGATCTTGATTAATTGTTTCAGTTTTCTATAAATATTTACATAAAAATTAAAATATAAAAAAAAGAAAGTAAATTTCCTAAACATACAATCAAACGATCTTTTAATGAATGAATTTGTTTAGTATAATGTTGAGCTTGATTTTCAAGTTGAAGAATTTTCTAAAAAAAATAAAATAAAATAAAATGTTAAAAAAGTAGATATGACAAATACTTGTTCGTGTTCTTTACGACATAGATCAGCATTTTTCATTCCTTTTGTTTCATTCACTTGTTCATCGCTTGCTGAACGACGATTAAAGACCTAATATATAAACATAGATAGATCACTTGAATCTATTCAAGGTAAAAGATTTTGGTTACAGCATTTCATTCTTGATTATAAGCATAAGATTGACGTATATAATGGCATTTTATAGTGTATATGTCAATCTAATGTTCATAACGAATACATTCTTTTTCAAATCGAACAAGATGCTTTAATAAAAATCATATAATCAATGATTTATCGATTATGATTTCTTTGTCAATAAATATGTGGAAAGGAATCAACAACTCAGAAAAAAAGGACGTTATAGTTTGACTGTAAAAAGCTCATGAAGACAAATTATTTTTAAGCTTTTGTTCAATATACTAAGACATTTTTTTACTAGGATCGATTTCTTAAGTCATTTTTTTACCATTTGTCTTAAACGAGAACATTCATCTCGATAAAAATGTAATTGTTTTTTCCATTCTTCAACATTTGCATGACTTTCTTGTAATGCTGTCGTTAATTTTACATTATTATTACGTAATATTTCTAATTCTTCTTGCCAACTTTTTACATTATTTGAACTAAATATATATATATTAAACTATGTTTAACAATCATTTTTCAAATATTTTACCTTTGTACAAGTGCAAGTTTAAGATGAGCATTTTCTTTTTTTAATTCTAATGAATGATCGAATTCATTTGATTGAATTGACCAACCTATTTCTGACTAAAACAAAAAAATTTATTCATATAAAATAAATAAAAATATTTTGGTCAAGTTAAGTGAGCTCCAAATTTCAAGTTTTCTGACAAATTGCAGCTTATAACTGTGTGCTTTTTTTTCTTCAGCATTCGCCAGTCGACTCAGCATAGTCCACAGTATGTATTAGAGCAATCAAAATTCAGGTGGAGTTTTTCGCGACAACTTAGATATCCGTAAACTCAAAATTTAGAGCACACTTAGCTTGATCAAATATTTTATACATGAGATATTCGTTTAGTATTAACACTTCGACTTCGTAGTGCATGTTTAGCTGCTTGTTTTATTGTAATAAATTTATTGATAAACTAAAAGAAAAATTAAAGAATAACAACTATTTTAATTCAATCTACTTTTGTTAAATCATTTTCATTTGCAAATCCTAAACCATACACTTGATTTGCTTTTGAATCAACCCATTGACAAAATTTTTGAGATGTTTTTGTAAAATTCATTCGATTAGTAATTATTGTATTAATAAATACTTTCGCACCATCAACAGATAAAATACGATATACATGTTTTAATGAATCATGAAATATTTGTACATTTACTAATTGAAAATAAATCAATTTCTTATATTTAGATATATATATATATAGATTAATATCATACCGGCATTTGTTGATAATTGAATCCAATATTTTCGTGTATCAGGATCAACTTGAAATATATGTGCTTTACATGTATATAGAGGAGCTTGTTGACTAAAAAAAAAAGATTATTTGAAAATTAAAAGAGTCAGTTTTTACCCTATATTTGTAGTAATGAGATGCATATTTAATTATCTGTTGGTGAACTTTTCATCGTGTAACGAAATTGAAAGGAAGAAAAGATTAATGTAACGAAAGAGAACAAGAACTTTTCGAATGTATACATATATATATATATATATATGGGTATAGTCTGTGTATAACGTATTCAATATATAAATAAACATTGCTTTAAGCATGAACAGAAAAGGAGAGAAATTGGATCTCAAGTGAACTGAGCTATACGATGATCCTTTTTAGCTTTTATTGTTTCGATAATGCTTGGAGTTAACGAAATAAGTTATATCATTTTGATCGCATGAATACAAAAATAAATTTTGTTCAAAAGGTGTAATGGAATCACTAATTTTTTTCACTTCAATAAATTGAATTGAAAGTGTAAAAGGTTGGAGCATCCTATATATCATAAAATTTCTTTCACAATTGAAATATAGACTTGTGATGGAATCAATAAAAATCGACCTTAATTTTAACTGTTATGTGAACCGTTCAAAATGATATGGATGTTTTCAACAACATTTATTTCTTCATATTTACATAGAAAAAAAATATCTGACAACATTCTTTCGATGATTTTATGCGTACATGGTAAACTGATCGTATAGATGATTGTCATAATTCTCAATATTAATCATATGTACTTTTGTATTAGTAGACTATATATATATATGACCTTGTCGTTCATGGACTTTACAAAAAAATAAATTCAAGTTTTGTTATTTATATGAGAAGTAGGAAAGAGAATAAAGCAACAGCCGGTGTCGATTCCATCATAAAAACAGCATTGCTTGTCTACTTTTTTTTTTGCACGTTCTTTTTATTGCCACTCATTCATTGTATGAAATAATGCAAACATAAAATCACGCATCATACTGGCATCAATCAATTCTTGACGAAAAGTTATTTAAATCCAATTCAATGACAACTACACCCTTTTATACTAGACATAGCTGGTGGTAGTTATAGTATATATTCAAAGTAAATCAATTGTGTATGTCTTTTCTTTATGAGAAAAAAAATGATCAAAATCGATATATTTTTTTATATTCTATTAAAAAGTATCGTAAACATTTACTGAATAAGATCTTGTCTGAGGTATAGATTTTCTAATAGCTACTATTAAAATTATTGCTGCAAAAAAAAACATCTGTTGCACATATAAACTTAGTTGAATATCTTTAGGTATGTGCAGTAGTGCAAATAATATTAATGGATAATTATTGGTATTCTTCACATATTTTTCTTATCTTTATTTCAACTATAACATTATGTTATTGTCAAATAGCTCCATATATAACTGAACCAAAATTAGCATTTGTTATTCCAATAAATTCAACAGCATTAACTTTAACTTGGCAATTTGCAGATTTATCCGTTGATCGATCTGATTTGATACAAATATCTATTATTTTTTATGAATATTATTATAGTTATAATAAAACATATCCATCAATAGATTACACATTTACATCAACGAATAAAACAATAACAAATTTAACGAAAAATTTCGAATTAGTTAATGCTTATTATTATGTTTGTTGTTCATCAAATTCATCAATTACAAATGTTACTCAATATCTATTCGTTACAAATTGTATATTAACTCGTACATGTTTACGTTCAAATGCTGCATGTCCATCGCCATCAAATGTTTTGATTTCATCAACAAACATTCAATCGAATTCATTTCTTATTTCATTTCTCTGGCCAAATGATTTACCATATACACCAGTTTCATTTACTACACAATTGATTAATACTAATCAAACAGGTAATGCATTAAGCTTAATACAAAATACTACATATACAAATCGATCTTATCAATTTACTGGTCTACAATCGAGAATGACTTATACAATTAATACAAGTTTTACTTATACTATTCTTAATAGTATGACAAAGACGAATACAACTATTTTAACAGTAATAACATCTTGTTCATTGAAACTAGTTTATACCGGTGATTTCTTAATTAGTTTTTTTTTCGTTCTCGGTGATCTTGTTTACAATATTTTCTTATAAATAAAACTTTAATGTATAATTCATAATCTTCATTTTCAGTACTAAAAAGAATATTTCGATAGATAACAGCAGCGGCAGATCTAGCTATTCGGCGACCACCACCCCGTCGAAAATAGATACTTTGACAAATACTGGAAACAGGTAGAACACCACAGGTTTCTTTCATAAAAAATAATACTACTTTCCACTTTTTTTATAAACCGCCACCGCCCCCGGAAAACAGTAGGTTACATTAATACTGTCATGAATTGAATCACACCAAGTTATTGATGAAGGACATCAAGTCCGGTTAATGGCTGATCTATTTAAATTTATCAGGTTATTAATCATAAGTATTTTTTCCAATTAATGACTTAAATCATTAATAATGTCTATTAAGCGTTATCATAATGTTTGATTTAATATGCCAAAAGAATATATATTCGATCTTAATCTAAGTTTATTTTTTTGTTTTGTATTAAGAAAAAAGCAATAAACAAATGAAACAGAATCTAAGAATCAATAGTTCTTTCATACCAAATTAAAATGGAATGTCCATAAATAAACTAGAAAACAAAAATATTCATTATGATTTTCTTTCATTATAAAAAAAATAAATCTTACAGTTAACTTTGTTTTTTTTGCTTTAACATTTGATGAATTAATGTAATGATAAAGAATAATTAATAAAAATACCATAACATTAAGTATATTAGCAATGATAGCTAATTGCACATCAGTAATCATGACTGTTTATTAAATAAACTATTCGGTTTATTTTTTGTGATATCTAAAATAAATATATTGAATTAGAAGATTTAGAATGTTCATTACTGATTGTGATGTTATTTGTTTCTCCTGTATTTAGATTTGAAGATTTGTTTTTTTCTTATTGGTGAAAACTCATCCAATTGTATATGATGACTAATAGGACGTCGCTTCCATTTGGTTAAGATAAAAGAAAAATCGTTATATTATTTTATTGTACAAATTATTATCAAATATCATCGAAATATTTATTTTTATGGTCTCACGCATAGAATAAATGATTCCTGTCTGTTTTTTTTAATGCACATCTCATATGAATAATAATTACCAATAAGAAGTACATAGATAAGATATATACATATGTATATATCAAAATTACTTAAGAAATAAGTGAAGAGGGGGCTTTTTTTGCACGAGGCAAAACACACAACAAGGTTTATGTATGTTTCATCAGAATAAATTATAATATCAAAAAATTAAATGTGTGAGAGAGAGAGGGAGAATAAAATAGAGATCGACTTGGTTGAATGAGTTTCACTAAATATGTGGATATATAAATGAGTGTAGATCAATATTTTTATATTACGTACAAGGTTTTCATTAGGAGCAAATTGTTAATAATATATTATCAAAATGAATAGTGTTGATGCTGCTTTTAATCAAGCTGATGTTAACCATGATGGAGGTTTGAATCAAGCTGAATTTCGAGAATTTCTAGCACGAAATTCTATTGGTGGTACTAGTACTTCAAATTATTCAGTAAACAATGAATTCAATAATCTTGAAGGTACTGATGGTTATGGTTCATTAGGATTTCGTTCATCAAGCTATGAAGGAACTGATCTAGGTTATGCTGGTGCTGGTTATGGAGCATCTTCATACGAATCATCAGCATTTCGTTCATCAGTTGGAACTATCGGTGGTGATGTAACAAATCTTAATGTGGTTGGTGCAGCAGGAGTTTCGAATGCTGATGCAGCTGCGGCGAGATTTTCAACTGCAACACGAACATCGACTTTTCAGCAGCAATATGAAACAGATGCGCAAGGTAATTTCAAAGATTCTAATCCACAAATTATACGACGACCAGCTCCCAGTGGACCTGTTACGTATACACAAAATATCAAAGTTCGATTTCTTCAACCACCTGCTGTTCCACCACCAGGAGTAAAATCTTTTTCGAAAGATTCATATATATTGTATTTATGTATATTATTAATTTTAGCCATTGATTATCAAAGAAGTACGACCACCTCAACCACCACCACCAGCTCCACTTCGAGTTCGTCAACAAGCTCCACCTTTACCTCAAGCACCTCCACTTATTTTACGTGAAAAACCTCCTCCAGCACCTGCAGTTGTTGCATCTCAAACTGGTAAAAACAAAAGACGACGTTATTTTCCTGTTTTGCATCGATTAATTTTTTTGTTTTAGTTGTTCGAAATTTGGCTGCAATTGCAGTTCCACCTCGATCAGTTGTCATCGAACGTTTACCAGCAGCTCCACCAAAACCTCGTAAGATCTTTTATTTTTGATAAAAATTTTTTTTATGGAATTGACTATGATCAGGTGATATTGTCATTGAACGTTGGATTCCTTACGGACCTCAAGCAGAACGAAAAACAATTGTTCAACGTGCTGCAGCAGCTGTAGCCTATGCAAGACCACATAATGTTATCATTCAATATGAAGCACCACAGGTTCGTGTTATTCGACAATTTCAACGTCTTGGTGTTACACAAGAAAATCCTCAAGAATATATTCAACGTTATGGAGCAACTCTGTTCGATTCACAAACATTGGTACAACAAGCACGTGCTGCTGGTGTAGTTGAAGATATTGTAAGTTATTGATGATTGGTACTATACTACTAAACTAATAAATCTATTTAGTCACCACCTGCTATATCCAATGCAGTTAGTTCTAACATATCTGAATTTTCGTCTTCATCATCGACTGGTGCTTTCAATTTAGAAGGTAATACTAATGGTGCAATTGATGTAGTTTCTAACATTAGTGGTGGTGGTGCTAATGGTGCTGCTAATCGTGCCTCATTCTATGAATCAACATCTTATTCATCAGGTGGTGGTGGTGGTGATATCTCTGGATTTGGTTATGGAGGAATTGGCTCATTATCATATGACTCATCATCTTATGGCTCATCAAATGGTGGAGTAGCTGATGCATTATTTTCTGCTGTTGATACAAATAATGATGGTGTTATAAGTCGATCAGAATTTCGAAATGCAGGTCTTTAAATTTTAAGATAACTCATTCTTCTCTCTCTCTCTCTTTCATTCCCTTGATACATATACATGAAAACAATTAGTAACTTAGGTATTCAAATAATTTTTAGTTTCTTTTTTTTTCTTCTTCTTATTAATTCTATATAGTTTTATTATAACATAACTTTAATTTCTTTGCAATATTGATAGAATAAAATGACTTAATATATATATAACATTAATTTTCAGAAACCATATGCATATCAATATAATTAATATATATTCTTTCTTTTTTTTTTT